TATGATGGTCTTACAAGGGCCCTACGCTTAATAATTCTTTGACGAGTAGGAGCAGAAACTAAACATGCTGAGGATTGATTTCACCAGAAAAAAAACAAGTCTGGCCCTGTTGTGCGCACTATAAAAAACCGACATTTCCGGTGGTTCTGTGGCAAAACTAACCATTTAAACATTCCACTTTTTCACTCAAAGTCCTCCAGTGGATTCGTATTCTCATTAGAATGGCCAACAGGATACGATAGCGACTATCCAAAGATGGGCTATCTGTAGATCATTGCCCCAGAAGAAGCTGAAAGTATGTCTAAACCATCCGATGATATCGCTACCCTATGCCAACTCCCATCCTCGCTCGCCAAACGTGAGCCCCCCCCACCACCACCCGCCAAAGGCACGCAAACCCCGGCAAGGGGGGCGGAATCCTAGCCGGGAGGAAAGGGAATTTTATTTACAAAACACTTAAGTAAGCAAAATACACTACAGGGAGTCAACGCCTACGGGAGCAAGGGCCGACCCCCGAGGTGTCGGACAGGGCCTTACTAGTAGATCGTATACCCTCATACGGTACATGGCACGGTCCTAACAAACATTTTAGAGCCCTCAGCGGGGACGGATAGTGCTTTGAGATAGTCCCGAAAATCCTTCACTATTTTTACTTTATCCGTATCAATAAAAGGCCCAGCTCTCGGCATACTTCTAGGGCACAGAAAACATTTCATTCAGACCGACAGTAGCAGAGATATGACACTCGCCGTTGAGTGTGGTGCTGCAACACCAAAATCTTTGGTTCAAACAACTAGATCGTAAAGTCACCTTAAAAAAGCCCGCCCTCGTTCCTCCCTGTTACCTTGTAATGAATCGTACGGAAGGTCATCGCCATATCCAAGTTACTGGACACCACCCCTCAACACCAACCGCCGCCAATGCCCCATGCCACGAGCAGAAAAAAAAAAGAGAAAAAAAAGAAGTTCAAGGGAGTTCAACACCTGGGATTCTCACGTGGTCACCCACCGTGATACTAACCAGGCGATGCAATGCTTGTTTACCGCAGAGCGGACGGGATGCGAAACTTTCATTGCTCTATGGCCGAACACATTCTCATGACTAACAAAACTGATTATATCTAGAACGGGAGACATAAAGTATCACCCGGTGGTGGATTTCTAGGGGACAGGGAAGGGTAGCTAGTAAACCGTGGGAACACTGATAAAGAGGTGTACATTGTCACGCTAACTCCTCTGAGCTCTTAGCGGTGAGAAAGGTGATGGGGGGCGGAGATTCTTCCTTCTTTCCCCACCTCAGACTTAGCTTCGCAACCTAGAAAGTGAGCGGGAGGGCTCACAAGCTAATCAGTGATAGCTCCTCCCAGCAAGACAGACTCGGGCCTAAGCCATAGCCAAGAACTAGAGACCCAGAAGCTACACTACTATACACCAGCACACGTAGGCACCATTCACCCCATCCGACACTCACCCTGATAGTAGTAGAAAGACGTGGTCGCTCGTGCACAGGATCGGAGGAGAGGAGAAAAGATGTTCGATACTCGGACAAACAGCTAATTAATGACCCATCTATATAGACAACACCTCTGCTGGGGTAGTTCTCCATACAAACACCACATTTGGGGCATAACCCCATACAGATAACACACTCCATGACAGTCACACAGCTGCCTACATATCTACATGCTCCTGCATGTCCATCCTTCTCCCATAGCAGGGTTATACTACCATCACACCCAATCACCCAAACCCCAAACCCCTTAGGGAAATCCACCCAGCCTTGCTTGGCACCCACCTCTTTAACCATAAATACCGCTCCAATCCCCCCCCTCTTCCTTCCCTCCTCATCCTTGTGCACGGGCAAGATCAGTGGCAGTGAAGACTAGTCTGAGCTCTGATTTTTGCTAGTTGAAAACTACAACTATATTGACGCTCCCGGTCTGCTCCGGCGGATCGGGGGAATTTTTGGAAATTATTGCGATGTCCTTGCGACGCGCTTGTGCTCACTTTTCTTCTGTTTGTGGGCAGTTTGCCCTACGTGCTACCTACAGAAATTTGCGTTTGATTTTTGGCTTACCCTTCTTTTCTTTGTCTTTTGCCGTGCTTGTTTGCAAACGGGAGGGGGAGTTTCAATGCCGGCGGGTTTGTTTGTGGGTTTCACGGGCTTGTTTTGAGATCTCTGGTTGGCGCTTTTGCAACATGGTATGAGTCCACGAGAAACGCATGGATGAGTGAAGGATTTGCTTATCGATAATTTCCCGGATATAATACCATCATCCACAGGGGAAGCTGCAGATACCGTAAAGGCTCGGATATAGCGAACCGGCCCCAGACAGTGCAGTTGTCAACCGGGCGCCCACCTGTATGGTTGGTTGAATCACTACCCACGTCAGTAAACCTTATAGCGGTGACTGTGGTTCTATAGGAGAAGGGTAAGTATATTATATCTAATTCCTGAAATGATTTCAAGAACATACCGAGCCGGGTAAGGGTGGTGATGCGAACTCTGATATAATTTAGCTATTGGCCAGCCCCCTCTTGCAAGTTAGAATAAAGAACAAAAAAAATAGATGGCAAAAGGAATGCTATTAGGCTGCTTTGGGGGGGGCATGCTGAAAGAAATGGAGGAGAATATGCACCTAGAGAAGTTAAAACTAACAATTTATCACCACAGCATAAACAGAAGAGGCAATATAAACGTCCTCATCCAGCGTTTCTAGCCCGAAAACTTTATTTCATAGTGCCCTTATAGTGCTTGCAGGAAGAGTTGGTACGATCCAGATTTCTCCTATAGCCCACGTCAGTTCATTACATCCGAGCCCTTATGGTGCAACCCACTAGGCACGTCAATCATAGATCCATCCACCACCAGTACGTACCTCATGAGCACAAGAAAGCCAAAAAGAAACTTAGCTGAGTTCAGCACCTAGGATTCTCACGTGGTCACCCACCGTGATACTAACCAGGCGATGCAATGCTTTTTTACCGCAGATCGGACGGGATGCGAAACTTTCATTGCTCTATGGCCGAACACACCCCCATGCTTAACAAATCTGATCATATCTAGAATAGAAGACACAAAGTATCACTCGTCGGTGGATCCCCGGGGAGCAGGGAAGCAGTAGAGGACATTAAATGAGTCGTCGTCGACCAAAACACACCAAAATTGGGGGTTTTCGGCTCATCAAAAATCAACTAACTCCACTGATATCACTTCCAAAAAAATTCTTTAAATTTTCTCATTCATCTGAAGTATACTATATGATTTTTGAAGATTTTTATATAGCAATCATATAGAATGGCACATGTTTGAAGTTGGTGAGGTCGGTTGCAATGTATCTTTTACATACAAAAAACCCTATCTTGGCAGGTATCTTTTGTCTATACTACAAAACCCTCCTCACTACTCTGCTGTAGTTGAAGTAAAAAATCTCATATTTTTTTTCTCTGAGTGGATGCACACTATGGAATTTCTTAAATTTTCCCTACAGCGATTTCATCCAAATTCGTGGAGATTTGATGGTGTTAAAAACCCCAATTTTGGTGTGTTTTGGTCGACGACGACCCATTTAATGTCCTCTACTGGAAGTGTAGCTAATAAGCCACGGGAATCAAGGTATACGCTATCATGTTAACACCTCAATTCCGAGTTCCCATAGGAGAGCAAGGTGATCGGGGGAATTTCCACCCTCTCTTTTCCCACCTTAAGCCAACACCCGCAAACCCAGAGACTACTACCCTACTATATCATACATCAACACATGCACCCATCATTCACCCCATCCTACGCTCACCCAACCACCCAAACCCCAAACCCCTTAGGGAAATCCACCCAGCCTTGCTTGGCACCCACCTCTTTAATTATAAATACCGCTCCAATCCCCTCGCCTTCCTTCCCTTCCTTCCCTCCCCATCCTTGTGCACGGGCAAGATCAGTGGCAGTGAAGACTAGTCTGAGCTCTGATTTTTGCTAGTTGAAAACTACAACTACATTGACGCTCCCGGTTCTGCTCAGGCGGGTCGGGGAATTTTTGGAAATTATTGCGATATCCTTGGTGATGCGCTTACGTTCTCTTTTCTTCTGTTTGTGCGCAGGTCGACGTACGTGCGGCTTATAGAAGTTTTGTGTTTGAGCATCGGTCCACCCCTCTTCTTATCATTTAGCGTGTTTGCCTGCGAATTGGAGCGGTGTTTGGACGCTGGAAGGTCTGTTTGTATCATTGCCTTTCCACATTCATCCCGAGAAGACCTCTGGGGGGTATTTTTGTAGTATGGTGGGAGCCCACTGGAAAACCATAGACGGAAATATCCCAAAGCCCCCACCAGTATCTAGATCCCGTCTAATCCTCCCGCAAAAGTATTTTACCAACTCCCACCCTTTTACCCCAAGAAACCCTCCTCTACGAACACCAATAGACATAGAACGATATCTAGCACAACACCTGCCGAGACCCTCCAAGGCACCATCTCCAACCCCAAAATCACAAACAACCAAGATCACAAATCGACCCCAAACCCACGCAGCGAGCAGAGGAAAAAAAGAAACTCAAAGGAGTTCAGCACCTGGGATTCTCACGTGGTCACCCATCGTAATACTAACCAGGCGATGCAACGCTTGTTTAACGCAGAGCGGACGGGATGCGAAACTCTTATTGCTCTATGGCCGAACACGCTGGTGGTGTCAAGTTTTTTGGGTGATATCTGGTGGTGTGGTCATGTAGGGTCACTCGGTTGATGGCTGTGCTAGTAGTAGTGGGTGAATATGGTATAATAGTTAGGCGGGTTTACTAATTTACTCGTGGATGATTACGCAATTTATTTGTCTGTCCTGTCTCTGTGGAGAATCTCATTACATTATGCTGCCGTTGAACTAACATCGCCTCACCCTCCTCCCGCAATCCCCCGCGCGAGAGCCCCCGTAAGCTGCGCCTGCAGCAATCCCAGAACCTCCCCGTAAACCTCAATCCCACCGCCATGTCCGCCGCCATACCCTTCAGGAGTAGGCACCACAACCCCCTTCTCCTTCCAGGCCTCCCAAATACTCCTCGCCTGCTCGCACGCGAGAAAGTGTTCCAGGAAGCCCCCCTCCTCGCCAAACATCTCGTGCTTCCGCCGCAGCCAGCCGACCCTTCCGAAAGGGATATAGTGCGCCACGGTCGGGGCTTTCGAGTACGCCACATCGCAACCGACGCAGCAAACGCCATGCTCCAGCATTCCCGTGCGGGGGTTCAACACGGGGAGGGGAGCAACCCCCTGGTACCTACGGACATCATCGTCCTTGTTGTCCTTGTCGGCGTAGTAGGCCGGTTCGCCGGGGGCGCGTTTGGAAGCCGGGTACGAGTATAGCGATTTGTGTATGTTATTGTACACAGCCTTCTGCATGCGATAACTAGAGAGTTGCGATTCCCGTTGAGCGCCGACGAACGCCCCAACGGCATTTTCGCTCCCGTGAACCTTCACCGCCAATCTCCTCGTGGCGGCACGCGACACCAGCGGCGTGGGATCCCGTGGAAAGCTGCAGTAAATCCCCCGCAACGTGTAGGTCCCCGGGACCGGCCGCAGTGCCGGCAACCCCACCAATGCCTCCGGTGAAACCCCGAATGAGACCGCCGCGAGGCCGCGACATATCGGGAGCAATTCTGGGTCCTGAGTGTGGCAGTGCCAGCATACGCGCCTGCACTCTAGAAGGAATATGAAGGCTCCGAATGAATTGCAGTAGCTGCACAGCTTGCTCGTGAGTGCTTGGAAGAGCTCGCCGATGTTTGCGTGCGAGGAGAGGTTCGTGGCGAGGTAGGCACGGACGACGTCTGGCGCATGGGTTATTATCGCCCGGTATTCAGGGAGAGCGTTTATGGCTGCGAGGGCGACTGTGTTGACCCGGCGGAAGGCTAAGAGAGAGCAGATGTCGAGGAAGAGGAGGATCTCATTGATTATCTCTAGCGGGAGGCAAGCGGATAGATCACCCAGGCCTGGTGGGAAGGGATAGGTTGAGGACGTTGGGGGCGTGGTGGTGGTTCGGTCGTGGTCTAGTGGGCAATTTTGGCGGAGCTTTGCGGGGGAGAGGATGGCGTCGTGAAGTTTTGTTCGGCGGAAACTTAGGAGGTGGAGGATTTCGGAATTGTCAGACGGGGTGTAGTAAGTGCTTGAGGCCATTGTGCTATCGCCGCCACCGGGCCTGTCGACCATTACAACGTAAAATAGACTTGCAATGACAACTGGCCATGGAAGGGAAATGAGCCCCAATTTACACGTACAGGAACGGGTAGGTTCCCCCTATGTCAAGATAAGGCTGATCTCAAGAACACGTTGAATCAATCGCGTAATTGGAGTGCTAGACCGGAATATCACATTTTAAGACAACGCCCCGCATTGGGCTTTTTATTCCGTGCGCCCTCGGTAAGGTAAGTTAATCTCAAAATTTTTGGCCACCGACGAACTCGAGGGTCAGTGGCGCCGCGTGAGCCGTCTCTTTCGGATTGGAGACCAGGGTTATCATCACACAATGTCACTCGAACAACCTTCATCCTGTTCCGTACGAGTACCCACACCACCGGTACCGTATCGTATGACACCGATGCCTAAACCGATGCCAGGGTAGTCCTCTTCCCTTTTTCCCCTTTCATGGGGTCGTTTGCAAGCGAGGTTGTTACAAGTCCTGCACCGTACTCGAGCACAGTACGGTATCCACTTCACCTGTGCGAGCACCGATATAAGATCACCTGCCCACTTATTTCTTTTTTATGAGAAGGAGCGTTGGAGAAGGAGGTGGATGTGGGGTTCTAAGCGAGCTAACCCGCAGGTGCAGAGCAACGGATAGGGTACCAAAGTTGGACTTGGGTATACATGATACGTGATACTCTAAAATGTAAAGGTACTGCTGTAGCACCCGGCTTATGATGGCCCACACGCACCCACAGTGCTCGTACCTTATCTGAGTGGAGAGCGGAGGTCTCTTATGGAAGGCGGACGTTGATGATGTGCAGTTAGGGCACGGAGTGCGGTACAAAGCCCGTTATGCTGTACTAGTACGGTACAGTACTCGTAATGATCACTCATCAAGGAGTTTTTTCCCTGAAACGTTAGCCGACCGTTACAGTACGGCACAATCCTTCCCGCATCTATCCTAGTGATACTTCATGAAGTGAGCCTACAAACCTTGCTGTTGATTGGTTAGTAAGTTAGGATAGCAATATCTCGGGCGTTTAGAGGGAGTTCATACATGTCAGAGGTTAAATGTCCAATTGGGATTTAAAGGGCTGTATAATACGGTATACCTTGTTACAAGTAATGGGGTTTCTAGAGAGAACCTCTCTCGTAGGCTGGTAAGGATCCAAATTTATGTCCCGCCCGGTTAACTTTTTTTTTCGTGGAACGCAGAGCCTCAGGCCCCACATCCAGCTCTCCCCATGCAAAAATCCAGTCTTGGCAGGTAAACCTTCGGCAAAGCTCCTCGGCATGATGGAAGCTCCGATAATCTTCGAACCCAATCCACACCAAACCAGCCAGGAGTTCCGGGTCCTAGTACGGCTACGCCGGCGCCCGAGCAGTCAGGACAAACACAGATACCACCATCATGGTGCCTCCCTCCGCCACATACAGATTCCCCACAGTGCACATCTCGTGTCCGTGCGACGAGTCCATAGCCATTACGCCCAAGTCCCCCACCAAGCCTGGCGCGCCGGCAGTACCAGAGGAAGATCCGGATGAGTCTGAGGAGGAAACCTTCGACCCCCGAGCGCCTCGTTCCAACTTCTCGCTCTTCCCCCTAGATAATCTACTATATTGCGAGGATTGTAAACAGATTCGGTGTCCTCGTTGCGTGCACGACGAGATTGTTTGCTTTTTTTGTCCGAATTGTTTGTTTGAAGTACCATCTTCTACTGTTAAGACGGATGGAAACCGGTATCCCTCTCCCCTCGCTAGATGGTTTGAGATGGCGTGGGGCTGACTGGGGGGTGTCTTATGGGGACAGGTGTACGCGAAATTGCTTCTCGTGTCCAATATGCTTCGCCTCCCTGGTTGTGGCACCCACGGGTGAGGGACAGGCAGGCCCATACATACTCCTGTGCAATCACTGCCTCTGGTCATCTGGAGAGATAGGAATCGAGTTCGAGAAGCCAACGTCTATCGCTGCACAATTGGCCGAGAAGCTGAAGCCTCCTGCTCTTGCCAGGGCCAGCTCGGGATCTTTCACCTCTCCGCTTTCCCCAATGTCAGCATCTTCCGAGGGTTACTTTCCCTCCACGGGCGCTCCGACTATTATCACTCCGGACGATGAGGAGGATAAGAGGGAACTGAGCCCCGAGGAGCGGTTTATCGGGCTTAAAGCGCATTACGCACAACAAAAGGCTGGGGCGGGAGCGGATGAGTACGGTAGCTCTCCTGGGGCGCTATCACGGCTTATGGGGCTGATTTCTGGCCTTGGGTCTGGCAGTCGGAGCCGGAGTTTTGGCCGGGGAATTGGGGGATTTAGTAATATTGGTGGGAAGGGGAAAGTTGAATGGACTGAGTGGGATGCGGTCAAAGGGATTGGGGATGATGAGGAGGAGCTAGTTGAGAGGATCAAGGAAATTGGGTTTGCTGGAACGACAAATAAAGAGCAGAGAATTGCACAAAACCATCAACCGAGATTCATCCAGGATCTTAGGCCTCTCGCAACAATACTGAGGACGAAGAGGTCCAAAAGGTGCAGAGCTTGCAGGCATATCCTTGTCAAGCCAGAGTCGAAACCTACTACCATCAGGTTCAGAATAAAGCTTGTGGCGATGTTTGTCCCGCCAATTCTTCCTCCCTCACTTCAACTCAGATGCTAACCATTTAACAGGAACTACATACCAGCACTCTCAATCTCCCGCTTAGACCCAACAACATTCAACTATTCTGCGCTCACCCCCCTCTCGACCCATCAATTCCTCTTAACAATCACAAATCCCTTATTCGACCCCATAAACATCACCCTTGCCACACCGGCCAAAACGCCAGGAAGCTACCCCTCGACCGTAACAATCCTCTGCCCAACCTTCGAAGTAGGCGCAAACACCGACGTCTGGGACGAGGCCTTGCAGACAACTGCAAACACGCCAACTGCCGCCATCAAGAAGGGACGGAAAACTGGAATGCTGATCGGCACCGTCTGGGACCTAGGCAGGAACTGGACAACCGTGGTTATAGAACTCGTGCCACCGCTACTCCCACTCCCCGGGGAATTGGACGAGGACGGGGACGAGCTTGCTACCGAAGATGACAGGCTCGTTCAGGTTCCCGTGTCGGTACGTGTAGTTTACGAGACTGATCTTGAGAGGGACGATGGCGGTCTTGGGAAGGAGGCGAAGGAGAAGAGAGAGCACACATACTGGAGTGTGCTGGGACTAGGGAGGATCTCAGAGAAGATGCCTACCACGGCTGTTGAGGATGTCGCCGGGCCATCGGCAGCACGGCCAACGAGCCTGGTTTCTATAGCGGGGAAGGGTGTTGCTGGGAGAGGCGGTGCCAGGGAGGAAGCTGGTGAGAGTAGAGCAAATAGGCATTCTGTCAGGTAGGTTTATGTGGGGGTGGTATGATAGTTAATGCTTGTGAATAATAATTTCGACATCCTACGATTCTGTATCCCCATGTTACTGCGGTATCATACAGTATTACATGCAATGCTGCCAACCATTTCGCCGCCACCTACTGTATGATAGCCGATAGCGGACATTGTACTAGTAGAACCGCTCGCCTCTCTGATTCGTACCGGTGCTCGAGCATAGTGCTGGGGCCGCGCCCAAACCACCGTATCCTTGCCCAGTAAGTCACCAGTCGAGGCTCAAACCACACATCTGCCCGAAGAGTTGGACCATTCCAAAAGAAGGTACCAATCATGTGATGATAAGATGGCGCCAAGACCAAGTCTTATCGATCCCCCCCACCACCACTTAGTAGACTACCCTGGCCATCGTACCTGTACTCGAGTTCCCGCGCCAGGGAGAAAGAAAAAAAAAAACTTTGCAGCACAACAAACTCTCCCTCCTATCATATCCTACGTCCAACATCCCATCATCACCACTTCAAACTTGACCTCGCTTTACACCTTCATTTCTCTTCATCCATCCAACCCACCACCCCAGTGGTAAACACACGAGACCCCTCAAGCGATCTTTTTTTCTTTTTCTTTTCTCCCTCCCTTCCTTCCTTCGTTGCACCTCCACAAGAGCCCTCGCAGCAAAAAAAATAAAAAATGAGACAATCTGGCCTAGCAGACCACTCCCGGGACCCCTGCCCTTGGGTAGTCCTCAGCGATTTCGGCGGCGCCTTCGCTATGGGCGTAGGTTCCCCACCCACCCCCCATCTCCCTCCATCACGCACCCTGCTAACAAACAACCCACCAGGCCGTCGGCGGCGCAATCTGGCACGGGGTGAAAGGCTTCAAGAATTCGCCGAGCGGGGAACGCTCGATAGGAGCGCTCACATCGATAAAGGCCCGCGCGCCCGTCCTCGGCGGTAACTTTGGCGTCTGGGGCGGTCTCTTCTCCTCCTTCGACTGCGCCGTCAAGGGCGTCAGGCAGAAGGAGGATCCGTACAATGCCATCATCGCCGGGTTCTTCACCGGCGGGGCTCTAGCTGTTCGTGGAGGGGTTAGGGCGGCTAGGAATAGCGCTATCGGGTGCGCTTGTCTGCTCGCGGTTATTGAGGGAGTCGGGATCGGGCTGAATAGAGTTACGGCTGGGGGGAGTAAACCGCAGAATCCTGGGGTGAGTCTTTTTTTTCCCCCTCTGCTGTACTTTGAAGGAGGGTTGTGGGGGATTGGGGATTGGGCTGATTTGGCCAGCTGCCGAGTGAGGCTTCCACGGAGGCGTTACCAGCTTGAGTCGATCGATGGTGGGGATGAGATGGGGAGGTTCGTTACTTGTTTTCTCTTGTTTTTTTTTTCTTTTCAAATTTCTGTCTACTCTACTCTACTCTGGATCATTGGCCTGGTTAGACGAAGCACTGCCGTTAGTCGCATCGCGCATACACCATCAACACCGACCGGCAACAAAAGGGATATAAAAGGAAAAACACTCTGTACATAATTCAACTACGGTAGTCGATTGGTTTGCTTGGGAGAATTTCTGTATTCTTGATTCCTTTTTCTTTTTCTTTTTCTTCCCCCTTCTTTTTCTCATCATATCTCAAACTACAGTCCAGCGAGGTGGTGGAGAGTCATACTTTCCCTCACAATTTGGGGGGGGTTTTTTTTTGTTGGCTACCTATAGCTACCTATATACCGGTAGTGATGGTAGTAGATGGTAAACCATTATTACATGTGCCGGTACCATGCAAGTACTGCTACACGTTTATCGACATCATCGCCCTCATTGCCATCGTCGGTATCGTTACGCAGAACACATCTAGACTACCGTATATAATCGCATGGTAGTATGTGGTAGCCACTGTACTATGCCTATCCCGACACAATCTAGACAACCCGAACCACTGTACCGTTAAAACCCCTTCAGTCATCAGCAGCTATACGGCACCGGCACCGTACTCGAGTGCTTTAGTCTAACATACCGGTGCCCCAGCCAACCACGCCCAAGCAGCGTGTATCACAACAAATCACTCGGAAATATGTATGACAAACTATTTTCCATTTGCGATAAAAAAAAAGAGAGAGAGTGAGAGAGAGAGCGGCGCGCCACTTCAATAATCTACCCACCGCCGACACCACAACTAATACACACTCTCCCCTGACAAGCCCAATCAACCAATCAACCAACTCATCGCCCCCTCCCTCTCTTCCACCGACAACTATATTACAATCCCGTCGCCTTCTCCTAATCAATACGCTCAAAAGGGGGGGGGGAAAAGGAAAGAGATCACGAAATGCCAAATAGCCCTCCCAATCATCCTGCAAAGCCTTGATAAACACAATGGAAGAAATGAGAAGGGGGAGTGAAAATGAAAGGAAAGGATTGATCGCTTGGTCGGGTAGATGGATGGAGGGAGGGGAGTGGCAGGGCGGTTTCGAGGAAAGGAGGTACGATGGAGAAATAAAGGGGGTATATAATGCAGAACTAACTTCTGAGAATCGGAAAACGAAAAAAAAAAAAACGGGAAAAACGACAAAGGAGCAAAAACATCCAAACCACCTACCCACCCATCCCCACACGCCAGCCTTCTTATAGAAGAAAGCAAATAGGGTATAAGTTGATATATAGAGCGATGGGAAATGAGGATATAAAAAAATTTAAAAGCGAATTTTTGCCCCAGCAACCAGCTAAAATAAACATCACGACACCCGTTAAGTTGTGAAAAATAGGAAAAGCGAGAAAGGAAAAGGCCCCAATGACATTATGAAAAACCGCTAGGAAAAGAAAAGAAAACCTGTTGTGGAAATTTCACGAGCTCCGAGTTCGATCGTTCCGGTAATGAGTGGCTCTTGATACGATGGCAATGAGGTGGATGGGGGAAAAGAGGCAAAGGGGATAAAGAAAAGTCGTTTCTCGGGCCGATTTTCTTGTATCAAACATCCACAGCGAGGGGGGGGGGGGGGAAGGGGAAAGGCCCGAGAAGAAATTTAGCATATGATGCAACAGCACAGGCTTTTCTTCTTTTTGTCTTTGCCCCTTTCCACATCGTTCGGCTGCAGTTGCATCTGTTGGATTTTGGGCACCGTGTTTGGCCCCGATGCTCCGTTGACCTACGGGTAGCCACCAAGTCAGTTTCGAAGACAAAACTCAGGGATCTCAAAAAAGATATACATCCGCAAAAGGTGCTATGAATGTGAAATAGTATTGGTGCTTCGCTCTAGGGAATTTGGAAGCAGCCTAAAGAATGACCCTCCCCTCCAACACTCCCCAGGCCAACATGGCAAGCAAAAAGTAGAATACCAAATTTGCACTTACCGTAGGCACTATCCTATACCCGGCATCCGACTTTGGCTTCTCTGCCGGCGGCTCGGGTTGCAGGGCCGGGCTTCTTAATGGCCACTCAGGTTCACCCATTTCTCCACTTTTCCCATTCTCGCTATCCAGGTTTGGATCCGAGGGAACCTTGAGGGGCCTGAGTTCGCGGTCATAAACGCTAGCATATGCACCGTCTCTCTCCCACTGCTCCTGCTGCATACGCTTGGCGACCGTGGGTATAATCTGCTGATCCGGAGGCAAACTAGGATCTGGCTTGTAGCTTTGGAGGGACCAGGGAGGGGGTCCCTCGGGGTGGTGCTTGCCCGCTGAGGCTTGCGACCCGGCACTGCCCGTGTGTGTTCCATGCGATGCAGACGTACCCGGGCGATTGTGAAGCTGAGGGTTAGAACGCGACCGGTCCTTCCGGAGCTGGGAGGGAGTCCGAGAGGTTCTGCGATTTCCGGATGACATGGGCGATCTGCTGGGGTTCTTCGGGTTGGACAGGGGACCTGGTGTCGGGGTTGCTGGCTCCTGATCGTGGAGGAGGAATGCCGAGCCAGCTGAATGGGAGCGCTTACGAGCACGGCGGTACGTACTTGAAAGGCTAGCTCTGTCATCCTCGGACCCATTGGGCGTGAGCGAGTTCCGCAGGAGAGGAGTGCTACGTTCTATGTAGCCTTGGGGTATGGGGCATGGTGAAGATGTCGGAACCGGTATCCTGGAATAAGAAGGATGCCTGCGAAACTGGCGAGAGGGCATTGCTTGGATCGGGGTGTCGTCTGCAGCCTGCTCTTCTGGTGTTCTAAAATCGAAGCTAAATCCCTCAGGATCGTACTGTTGTTCCGACCGATCTTCCATGGACGACGGAGAAGCGACTCGCTGCTTCTTTCCATCTCTGAATGATTCGTTCTCTTCCCTTATATATGTCCCATTACTTGATGCCCTCGAGCGGATACCCGCCTGCTGGAGCTCCTGGTTTTCAATCTTGGCCAATTTGTCCCGATCAATCCATCTCGAAGTGTCCGTCCCGCCCTTGCCCTTGGCCTTGACCCCACTCCCCGAATCGACAGCTTCTATCTCCGCAAGCTTGTCACTGTGGATCCAGTTGGAGGAGTCTGCTTCCACCTCGTCCACCGCAGGGTCACCGTTACCGTTCATCAAGCCAAGGGGCCCTTCTTCCCCAGAGCTCCTCCGTCCATATGAACCAGCACTCATACCACTGACAGCTGAGTGTCTCCCCCCGTACAAATCGAAGACCGAGTCGCCATCATGATTTGAAGAAACGGTGGAGTCCTGGCGTTGCAGCGCCGGGGCTCGGGGTGCGGCTAGGTATTCCGGAGATGCCGGTCCGTTATCATGGTCGGGAGCCTGGACTGCACTATAGGTATGGTAGTTTTCATCCCCCGAGGAGTACTGGTATTCTTGCTGAGGGCCGTACACATTTGGGGCGGTTGGGGTAATCGTTGGCATCGGCGCGACATTCTTGGCATGTTGCACGTGATGGAGTTCCTTCGATGTCCGGCCATCCGCAGCGCTACGGTGAAGCATTGAAGTGTTTGGGTGGTGTTCCCGTAGAGTGGGATCCGGGGTATCGGTCTGTGAATAAGAAGGTTAGTCGTGGCTCAGCATCGGACATGAATTGAGCGACGCGTCGACCCGGAGGTGCCGCGGCCTTTGTTTTCTTTTAACATACCCCATCTATAGGAACGCTAAAGTTCCAGTCACCCCCAGTCGACGTGCCATGAGATGAGGAAGGCGGTGTAAGGGCGGCAGTAGATACCGCCGCCATATCGTTGAGCTTGAAAAGGGATTCGCGGGGAAAATGGAAGAGGTGAGTACCGTATCGAAGTGCAGGAGTCGAGACCGGACGGCGTGGGGGGCTGGGAGGATGGATTTCTGTCTGACTATATCATCGGCTAGAACACCAGAAAAGAGAAACCGGCCGGTGGAACAAACGAAAACAAGTGCAACGAAAAAGAAAAAACAGGAAAGAAGGGAAGAAAAGAAGAAAAAACGAAGGAGAGGAAAGGAAAGTGAGGGAGAGGTGAAAAGAAGGATAAGAGTCGTTGAATAGCCCGGGATGAAGCTGTCGAGTGGAACGGTGGGCGTAGCGGGATCTCAACGGGTGGTCGGTGCAACACCTTCGAAGGGGTTACAGACAAGAGGAAGGAGAAGAGGGGATACTGGCAACCACAAAAGTCTATGGTAGGCGATGCGGAGCCCGGGTGCGGGGAGTGAGTTGAGGTGAAGAAGGGAAAAAAAAAAGGGAGAAGAAAAGAAAAGGTGAAAGGGCTAAAAAAAAAAAAAAATAGAGCGAACGAATGAAGAGAATTCAAAGGAGAGGCGGCGAAACGGGTTGCAATAAGGTGAATCGGTGGTATGATAGTGACAGCAGCCAGTCGGTCCCTAGATGCAGTCGAGTAGAGGGTTATTTTTTTTTTCTCTTCCCCACGGCGGATCCCTAAAATGTGAGGATATTGTTCCTTTAGGGGAGGGAAGAGGCGAACCAGCAGCGACGATAGGACGAGAAGGGTCGGATGCAGTAGCAAGATGCGGGTTCTCCACAGTCTTCACTTCGAACACGCTCTCTCTCTTTCCCCCCTCTCTCGGCTTTCCCCCTCTCCTCGCTCTGGCCACACTCCTATGTACCGATAGGCGAATGGAGAAAGAGATCAGGAGGCAGGATTCACACAAGACACCAAGATGGCGGTTCAACCCAGCGGTCCTTGTGGACGAATTGCGGGTTTGGGGTAGCGGTGAAGAGAGGCGGGAGGAACGAATGGGAGGAAAGGGTTGGCGCTGCAGCAACAACCAAGGCGTGCTCGGAAGGGAGGGAGTGGTGGTGGATCTCTGCTCTCTCTCTCTCGCTGGTCGATGGCACCGTATCATGCCGTGGCTACCACATCCTGGCTCGTCCGAGTGTCTTTGACTCCCGTAACGGCACTCGAGTGCTCCGTTCTGTTGGTCCCAAATCTCATCAATGGATGCCGTCCCCTTGTGCGACTCTCCGAAGCTTCTCAGCCAATACCCCCATTGCCGGCAGGCATCCCGCTTACCTAATCCGAGAGAAAACCCTAACGTCCGTGCACAGTGCGGACCCTGATTGGGAAATTTCGAATGAAATTGGGGGCGAGATGCAGGGATCCGGTTCAAGATTTCGATATCACGCCCGCCAGAGGGGGTGTGGTATCATGTAGACAGGATACCGTCAACGTCCAGCTCCACTCCAACGGTGTCAGCCTCATCGCGGACTCTGGAGGTGTGGTGACTCATCCGGGATGGGACGGGGAGAGAGCGGGGAATCGCCTGTGCACAGCATTTCGTCGTGATCGTGCCTTGGGAAGTGAGGGAGGAGGAGGAGAGGAAGGCGATGTCTACCCATCTCGTGTCGGGTACGCGCGGGATTTTCACTCTTTATTTATCATGCTGCAGTAACGGTACTTGTGCCGTGTTGTGCCGGTACTTGTACCTGCTCAGTGGTCCATTCTCACTCACCCGGGCCGGTGATCGAGTTGACTCGAGTTTGAGTTTGAATCTGCATTTGGATAAGCGAACCTGACCCACTCCATCGGAATTTCCACCCCAATTGGAAAGCGGCTGCCTGTCGACTCTCTGTCGGGTTCATCGGATGAAGTTTTTTCCTTATTGACACCCACCGGTGCAGTCTCGCACAGTACTCGTACAGTACGGTACTCGTACAGTACTCGAGCATGGTACAAGTATGATAGCCAAGAATACCTGGCCTGTACAGTACAGTACTGTACTTGTATCATACGAGTGCGGGTACTGGTAGCACGGTCACCCGACCTCTTCTTTTCCCGGTTGCTCGAATTCTTCACTCGGTAAAGGATAAACGTCGGTGGATGCTTTCGCGAAGATCTAATAGGGGTTTTTGCGAGTGCTATGCAAGTACAAGTACAGACCACTACCAGCAGATGATATCATTCTCTCTACCGCCCTCGTGATACCGAACATGTTGCTCACTACGGTACTCGTACTCTACACCAAACCACCGGTATTGCCCCCCAATTTGCCACCGGGTTTCGTTTGCTGGAAATACGGTGCTCGAGTGGTCGTGCAGTACCGTCCGTAGTCTAACTGAAGACCGAATCGGTCCAATCGGAAGAAACGTGATATAGGCGAAAACGGCTGAACGGGAGGAGGCTCTTTGATAGTCATCCCTTATCGATGCCAGTATTTCCTAAGGCCCTCAGGTCTGTCGAACTGGAAGGGAAAAAAGAGTTGTTCTGGAGGGTGGTACGAGTGAGCTAGGGCACAACCACCCTGCCGGTGATTTATCTGTTACGATAATTAAAAGGAAATTGAGGACACGTCTTGTCCAACGGGTTCGCTGCTGCCCCGTTCTACTGGTCCACACTCCCTCTCCTCCACCCTTCTCGCCCTCCCGCATACCATACCAGCACATCGATCCTCGATTTCGTCAGGATCGAAAACAGGGCTTCTTCGCCCTCTCCTGACCACACCCGGCTCTGACTTCATCCATCATCCATCCCCGCACACCCGTCCCCTCGTCCACCGCATCGGACCATTCCCGTGACGCTGCCCACATTAATTTGCGTACCCAACCACGCGGGGATCGCACCCGCACCCTTTTCTGTCCAACGATTCGTCACCACATATCTGTCAAGCTGGCGCCCTCAGTGCCCTACGCGGATTTTCTGGATCCTTATCTGGACCATCTTTCCCCGTACTTGGGAAACCTGGACAGACTGCTCACCGAACTCCAGCTCTCGCTCTTTCCTCGTTCCGCCCCCAGATCCTTACCCGATATCCTGCCCCACCTGTTGGTCTCGCTCGGCCTCTTCTCCACCCTCATCTTTATGCGTCGCTTTTTCGGCCGCCCGCAGGGTCGTCCTGACTTCGTTACGGAGCGTGAAGCTTACAAGGGCCCTCTGATCTCCGGCATCGAAAATCCGGATCCCGATCGGAGCGATGATTACGTTATGGTTAAGCATGGGACCAAGGAGTACATGGTTTCTTACCCTGTCGGTGCCGTTACTTCGGGCATTGTTACCGTTGGAGCGGTCCGCGATCAATGTGTGAGGCTCACTGGTGTGGAGCCTGAGAGGGTGAGCCTTTCTTGCGGAGGGAAGATCCTCAGGGATGACGCGGCTCCCTTGGGGTCTCTCGGGATCGGACACGCTGCTAGGATTCTCTGCATTGCGTCGAAAGCAACGCCGGTTCCCCCTACCGATAGCGAGCCGGCGGTTATCGTGGACTCCCTTGACGGGGCCGCTCCTTCCAAGCTCAAAAAGAAGAGGAGCAAGAAGAAGGCTCGCCCTGCATCACCACTCCCACCGGTACCGCTCCCACCGTCACCAGCTCCGTCCCCCCAACCGGAGGTCGAGAGGCTTCCTCTGACGCCGCTCCAGCAGATCGAAGCGGTCTGGGAGGATATTGTTGCCAACCTTCATCCATTGGTGAACGATTTCCTCCAAGGCCCCCCGGCGGATGCGGATAAGAGGGTGGATACGCACAGGATGTTGACCGAGACCATGATGGGTGAACTTCTGAAGTTGGATTCCGTGGAGAGCGGTGAGCCGGAAGTCAGGGCTAGGCGCAAGGAGGTTGTTAAGCAGATTCAGCGAACTTTTGATAGCCTGGATGCGGTACTGAAGTCGGCATAGAATGTGCCAACGGAATGACTGCGAGGAGTAAGGCGGCTTTGCTACGGGGCACCGCGGTTGGCATGCTGGTTTTCCTTTTTTTATTTCCTACACTTTTATCTTCACAGTATTACTCCACTGGGGCTTGTTTGTTTTTGATGCTATTCTCGTTTTTTTTTCTTCTTTTTCCCCCTTTCTTTTGCATTTGTTTCCCACCTTTCATGGGACGACACCGGTACTGATAGAGGGATTGGGGGGGCATGAATGTACAGTAAATTTCTCGATTGACCGGGAAGTGGGAATGTATTATATGACAATACAGTCACCAAGTAATGGGCATGGCAAATGTGAGGATTTGGTGGCCTGAATATCGTAGTCGGGCTGTCGCGCGGCAAAATCCAGCCTCGTCACTTTGGGTGCAGGTTTGTGCGGCTCAATCGAATGATGTATGCCAAGGCCTCGCGACGTTTTTCCCATCCCACCTCATCCCACCTTTCTTGCGTCTCTGACCGGACCAAAGCTACACCCGCTCACCCAACCAGATACCTCTGCCAGCAATGTTTGCAGCCCGCCTTCTCTCCCGCCGCCTCCGCCGGCCGGTCCAAACCACCCTCCATCGGGCCCGTGCACTGACCCTCCCACAGCCCGCCCCGCGCCGTCCACCCCCATTCCACAGATCCCCACCCCCCAACCGCGACGAGCTCCATGCCACCAAACGCCGCCAAACGCTCCTTACCATCGGCGCCGTAACATCGATGATAACGCTCTACGCCCTGGCAACACAATCCCCCCAGCAGTCACTGGACTCCCATCCTCACCCCCCGATACAACCCGGTGCCCCGGTGATACTGGCAACGGACGAGGAGAAGCGTGCTGGGGTAGAACTGGTCCCCTCCGGGACCACCAGCGTGCCGAGCTTTCCCAAGCATCTGAAAATCGGGGATAAAGGGTACACGCTGGTAGGACTAGGAATCCGCACGGTCAGTTTTCTGGCGATTCAAGTATACGTGGTAGGGTTCTACGTGTCAACGTCGGACCTGCCTACCTTATCAGCACACCTCCTCCAACACGCTGCCCCTAGCGGGGCTACCAGCACCACCGTCTCGGAAAGAGACTCTCTCCGCACGCTCCTCCTCTCGCCAGAGCACAGCGAACGAATATTCACCACGCTCCTGCAAAACTCTCACGTCTCCACCGCTTTGCGGATCGTTCCTACTCGGAACACGGACTTTTCACACCTCCGCGACGGGTGGGTTCGAAGTATTACCGCCCGGGCGAAGCGGGGTGGTGTCTACGAGGATCCTGGGTGGGCCGCCGCACTGGATGAATTCAAGCGACTGTTCGGCGGGCGTGGAAGCGTGCCGAAGAAGAAGACGTTGTTGCTGGTTAGGGATGGGGAGGGAAGGTTGACGTGCTGGTATGATCCGGAGGGGAGGGGAGATGGGAAGTTGGGAAGCAAGACCGTGAGGTTGGGGGATATTGGGGATTACAGGGTTGGATTGGCGCTTTGGTTGGGTTACCTTGCTGGGGAGAAGGTTGCCAGTGTTCCTGCGAGGAAGAGCATAGCCGAGGGGCTCGTGGAATTGGTGGGGAGGCCGGTGGGGAGTGTGGTTTAATGGATTGGTTATCATAATGGGGCGGGCAGTGCACAGTAAATTAGATGGTTGGATACGATGGGGCCGAGAATGTTGATATTACTCGTTTGGGTCTACTCCAGAAGCCTCCCCTTCCAGTTGGGCTTGAAAGAATTCCGTCACGAGTGACAACTCATGACTCAGTTGAGCGCACCGGATGAGCCATATTAATAACACTCTCCAACCTGTACACGCTATACCCGGCAAAACACACAAGCAAGCCGCTCCGTTTATATTAATTCTGGCACCTGCCATTCCTGCTGTCCTCTCTCGGAAGAACAGGACCAGAGCAGTGACTAGCACAAGCATTACCACATTCCCCCGCGCCCCTCTTGGGCTCGGCCAAATCCATGACTGCGGTGTCGATGCGGGAGGGCCTTTTCCCAGGCCGTTCGTGTAGGTTGCTGCGCGTGCTCTACTTGAATATACCTAGGTAAGAGTAGTTGATGGGCGAAGAACGGATCCCACGCCGTTGATCCGTGGTTTCGGTATGCGAGGATACCGAGCAATGGCTTTCTTCTTCTTTTTTTTTCTTTTTTCCTTCAGTGGAAACCTTTGCTCGCTCGCTCGCTAAGATGCGGGTATGGTATAATCATACCCGCGAGGAAATCCTCCTCCCGGGCATGGCCCCGAGAATGGGCTGCCGGCGTCCTCCCTCCCACCACCGCGAGCTTAAAGGTAGGAATAGTGGGAGGGGGGGGAAAAAAAGGGAAGGAGAGAAATCGATGGGAGTGAATGGCAAACTTTCGTGGGTGGCGGGGTACTGTACTGTGCGCTACCTATAGAGAGGAAAGGAGAGGCTCGGACATGGCGAGTAAGATTTCTCGAGATTCCTCATTGGACGAAGTTGGTTAGACCAGGAGCGCCAATTTGTACTTGTACTCGTACCTTAATGGGAGCTCGGAGTAGGATTTACACTCCTACAATAACTGATCCCACGTTTACCCCAACATTAATCTTTGCATGATATCGTACGTGTGATATGGTACAAACTCAACCGGGCACACACACAAATTTTTTTTTTTTGCTTCCTCCTTGATGGGTACGAGCGTGCGAGGTTATTGGCGTGATGGGATAAGTTTACCATGCTCCTCGTTTTTTCCCCTAATTTACCCCCTTCCCTCCCTCGGACACCTGAATCTCTTCTCCACCGAGTGATACGTGGTGTTTCAACACATGACTTTCGAAAAGAAAAAGAGAATCCTACCGATTGACTGAGATTCTGTACACCGGTTTTTTTTTTTGCCGTGCTTGAAACTCACTCGCTGATTTGCGGCATCCCACTTCTCCTACCCCTTTGGCACCAGTACGAAGCACGCGGTTTGCGCTTCCTCCAGAATCTAGTGGTGATATTTATACCTCCATGACAGGATCTGCGATTCTTCATTTAGTAACAGTTGTGTAATTGTTGGTGGTGTTATTCGAGTTTTGTGATGTCGAAAATACTGTTACCGCTGGGTGGGCTTCGGTTGTGGCTGTTGTTGATGATTTCTGAATGGATGCTTGTCGTATCTGAGGATCTCTTTAAAGAAAGATAGCGCTGAATAGGGAAAGAGGGGTATTGACGGGGATGGTCGGTCTCTAGAATAACCGGGGCTGTGGCTTCGTGGGAGACACATCGCAGGGCAGGCTGCCTCAGTCACCGTGACTGGTCAGGCGCTGCTCGTATTTCGTACCACCGGTATATGGTGCTGGGCTGGGCAGGGGTGTAGGAAAAAGTTACTGCGTCCAACCTGCTTGGTCAAGCTATAACAAAACTCTATTTGTAGCTGAACCCGTAGGGCTCCCATACCTTTGAGGCACCCCCAGCCCTTCGAAACGCTTCGCTAACCCTCTCGTTCTTATTATTCGGATGATAAAAACACATTGTGATAAAAGTTTACAATATCCCCAGAGGGATATCCGAAAACAGTTATCTAAAAAGCTTTTGCTGTTCTCTTGCTGTTAATAAGTATAGATCTTAGGGTACAATAGAGGTAATCATACTATCGTCTAGAAAAATAGTGTGCTGTCTGGATAATCTGACAAGGTTGTTGCTCCATGCCACTATCTTGATCTAACACACACACTTTCTCGCTCATTGGGAGTGGGCTCCCACAGCCTGCCAAAACCGCAGCAACTCTTGTTAGGCAGGAAGAAGAGGGATAAGGAAGAGAGTGAAATTTATATGCAAAACAGTTGAATCAACAAACATACCGCTGTGAGAGAACAACTATGAGCAAACGTCTGCCGGAGCACACACCGGCATTGGAGATTTTCAGTGGGGCCTCGCTAGTATCATAGCATGCACCACAAATATGGTGGTATGATAGAAAAAGAGAACTCCAGCGCGTCATTAAAGACATCGCAATAATTTCCAAAAATTCCCCGACCTGCAAATGTAGACCGGGAGCGTCAATATAGTTGTAGTTTTCAACTAGCAAAAATCAGAGCTCAGACTAGTCTTCACTGCCACCGATCTTGCCCGTGCACAAGGATGAGGAGGAAAGGAAGGAAGGAAAGGAAGGAAAGGAAGAGGGGGGGGGTGGAGCTGTATTTATAGCCAGAGCGCTGGATGCCAAGGCTCGGTTCTGATTGGGGTTACAGTGCGATATGGGGTTTGGGGTTTGGGTCTTTGGGTGCGCGTACGCGGTTTCTTGTAACATATCATAAGTTACACGGTCCGGGCTGACGTAGGGTAGCGTGTGCGGGTGGGTTGCTGGAGTATGATATATCATACACTCTGGGTTGTGGTATCATACGGATTGAAGTTTGGTGTTGTTTTGCGAAGCCCGATTATGCTTGAGCCTTCTCATATCATACGCACCCCCATCTAGACTTTGTAAATATGGGTTCAGCTTGGACACGGGGAGATAGAATATAAGCTACCCCCCCCCCATCAGTACGAGGTCAAGACATGAGGAATCAACATGGTAGCATACTTCCCTTTAGCTCCCGTCATGTAAGGCACCAGTCGCTCCTCACCTCTGAAAATTCTCTCCCGAGTGATACATCGTGCTTCAGCTTATAGTCAATTTTGGGAAACATGAAAATGTGTTCGGCCATAGAGCAATGAAAACTTCGCATCCCGTCCGCTCTGCGGTAAACAAGCATTGCATCGCCTAGTTAGTATCACGGTGGGTGACCACGTGAGAATCCCAGGTGCTGAACTCCTGTTACTTATTTTTTGCTCCTAGGAATACTATCCAGGTTCAATCAAATTTATCCACCCTAGCCTCGCCGAGCTGGTATATATCTAGGTGGGGGTGGTATTTTTTTTTCGGGGGGTAGAATGCCCTTTTGCTTTTCATGGGAACAACCTAGCGGTGTTTCCAGGTTGGAGAAAGGGGTTTTTTTTGGGTTATAGTTTGCGTTTTCGTCGAGGATGAGATGAAGATTGCCAGAAATACTAACTGCTATCATATGGTCCTTGCCTGTTTCAAACCCGAATATCTCGGGTTGGGGTCTCGGGTGGGTGGAGCCGAGTGAGGCTCTGTGCCAGATTTACATTGGAAGAGAGAGTGAAGTAAGCTGGACCAACGTCAGTAATGAATTTTTTCTTTGTCTTCAAGACTATTCTAAATTAAGAAAGTGTCCGTTCCGAATTCCTGGGAGTTCTAGCTTGAAGGGAAGGTGTGTATCTGGTGCAGCAGTTCTCCATTCTTATGTCGCCTCGAGTAAGAGAGTTCGGTGCAATCCGATTAGTATCTGGGGAGGACTCACGGGGAAGGAGCTAAGCTTTTTTGTGTGACAGTTGGGTTCCTTATTCCCAATATCGTGCCAGAATTTACAGTCGGAGTGGGCAGATTGGGGGTATAGTACGGGAGTCTGTATATGATGTATTGAGGTACACGACCTGTGAAGGCTCTGAGGAGCGGGGGTGACGATACAAGGAGTCAATTTGGTGCCCAGGTATTAGCACTGATATTTCAAGGTCATCTCGAGTTGGGATCGGGAAGGCGTGGCAGTGGTTTGGCAGCGGTGGTCACAGAGGGGGGGGGGGTGCAAAGGTAATCATGAAATAGCGGGATATGATACATATGCCCAATCCCGGGGGGCGATCCTATGGGCTACGAATCTGTAGGGCATACACAATTATTCCTGAGCACCCAATGGTTTTTGTGCTGCCTGACTTGATGGATCTGTTCTTTTTTCTTTAGTTCCTTTGAACAAGATATATTATTATATCTGCTGTTTCGGATAGTTGTAGCAGTGCGTTTTGCGGTCACTCTCTCTGACTAATGATAGAACTGAAGCGCTGGAATGGTGAACATAAGCTCTAGCGGTTATAAACGGTTAGTCTGTATCACCGCGATCCTACTATGCTAGTCCTTGGGCGGTGTGTGAAACAGTAAAATTCGTTGCCAGGCAGGCAGGCCAAGCCTGTTCTAGAGTCATTTGAACTTTGTGATTTGCCGTTAATTTTTAGGTGCACTGGGAGTGCTGAGTTATTTGAATACCAAAGTGTCTGAAAATCCCATATTCTGACCAAGCACGGTTAACTGCTGCCCGGTCTTGTCTTAGCGTGCCCGGCAATGAATTTTACTGTTTCACACCGCCCAAGGGATAGTTCCACAACTACCTGCGGTATCGGCGACACCTTACATGGAATAGCTTTAAGCCATTTTATAGTGTGGGCTTCGCACGTTTGAGTTGTGGAAATCAACTAACCAGGAGTAAACCGACTTAACTTGGCTTGCAAAGGTGGACCACGTGCATGAGGCGCAATGGTATGGGAGAGGTCAGGATAGCGAATTAAGGTACTGTTGATATAATATGGACCTGACATGGAATGATGAATCCTCCAGAATAGTATCGCATCTCCTAATTTGGCAGTTTACCTGACAGCGGGACTTTAGACACTGTACGCCGGGGCACCTAGAATCGTGCAGGTAATCATGGGGAGGCCATAAACTCGGTGAGACCAGTATAGCACATATCTAGCATTGTATGGAGAAGTTCAGCTCTGTCACCACAGTAGGGGATAGTGCAATTGAAGATTCTCTACTGTATACCCCCCCCCCCCCCCTAAGCATCGATGCACACCAGAATAAGGGAGTGTTTGGCACATTAAATTTTGTAAGGTACACCAAACTACTGCTTATAAGTAGGAAAATCCTACCTTACAAACCATGTGCGGCCAAACGCACCCTATGTTACAAAGTTAGACGTACCAAACACCACCTAAGCTTTTGGGGGAAACGACCCAGCGAATACAGCACCGGATTAATGACGGGAGTGCTGAAACTCCCCTGCTTGATGCCATACCCCCAAAATCTAGGAGCGTGCGAAGTTTCTCTTAGCTTACAATAGATAGATAACAAGGTTTAGCACTTTATCACTCCATATACCCGCGAGGAATGTATAGAGGTCTAAGTCCATAATATAGTACAATATCAAGGTAGTTTTTGAATGAGCTGAACCCAAGGCTCGACCTGAGCTTCAAATACTAGTTTAGTCGACATATGATACAAATGTTGGAATACCCTACCGCTTTGTTTGTACTAAAAAATAGTAATTGTTGGTACTGGATATGTACTTTATACTATTGGCATCCAGGATTTGCGTGGTTCGACGCAATAAGAGTTTTTTTTTTTTAAAAAAAAAAAAACAACTCCCCCTCGGTAGGTAACCATGGACCCAATATAAATGTCTTTTGTGCCCTCGATTTGTGTAGACAATCCTTGCCATTTCTGGGAGTCGCCCACAGATTCAACTTGACAAGACACTGATTACTTCTGTGACCTACGGCATTGGAAGATCTATTTTCAACTTGAAAATCTATTAGAGTTTTCAAATACATGTGTGTCTTAAAGTTAGGCTTTGGGTATGTGATGTTTTTATTCACCTGTTTGGCCTTCTAGCCCGTCTAACACCAGCTTCACCAGCACTTCAAGCATCACAATTGAGAAAAAAGCAAGAGGAAGTGAGAAAAAAACGAAAACGAGAATAACACTTAGGCCTAGGTGAAAAGGTGGCTATAAGAAGAGGGAACAAGGGGAATAGAATTGAGAACAAAAAAAAATTCAAGGAAGGGTTGGGGGAGTTTCAAAAAAGCTAGAATGCACCGATCTGGGCCCGGGCCTGGCCTCTCCACACCTTCTCCCTCTACACCTTCTCCCTTCACACCTTCTCCCTCCTTCGCTCCTACTCGGTTGCCCCAAATCTCGTTCCTCCGGCCAGAGGCAAACAAACACATCTCACATGACCTAGAAACATACAAACTCCCCACCGACCTACACCCGCTTTTCCTAGCAACCGAGGAATTTTGCAGCGATTTAACACACAAGATACTCTTATTCTCTCAAGTGGTGCCAGCCGAAATGGCTGACTCTGTGGATGAGCAGGTTAGCATGATGAAGGCGACGTATAGATCGCTGAGGAAATGCGGGGGGGCTACCCTGAAGGAGGGGGTAATGGCTGTTTGTCGGATAATAGAGGTGATCCGCGGGATTGAGGAGGAAGTTGATGGGAGGATCATCGCCTGGGATCGGGGAGAGCGGAAGAATGGTGGAGGGGCTGTTAGAATTACAGAAGAACGGGGGAGCAAAGTACACGGCGGGAGGGTTGCGAGGAACTTAAAGGAGCTCAGAAAGACTGATAATAAGCGGGAAAAGGTCAGGGAGATTTGGGAAAAATTTAGAGGAACGGTATGGAAAGAAGGAGGCGGATATGATGTTCCAGTTGGTGTTGGTGAAGAAGCTAAAGGGGGAATGGAAGAGGATGACGAGCTGGAGGGGAGGGTCAGTGTCCAGGTGGATGAAGCACCTAGATCCGATGACGGTGATCCCGCGCCTGGATTTCACCCGATTATGGAATGGGAGTGGGATATGTTCCAAGACGACAACACACATGCTTAAGTTTTGGACTGGTATTTCTTCTGCTTTTGATTGCTGTATGTTAACTTAATTTTTTCTAATACTGTCTCGGGGGAGTTGAAGTTACGCTGGTTACGAGAGATCTCTTGCTGGATAACAAATCAGGCCCAGCCATGTGACCTTACCTACTACTCGGATTTTAAAATTTCCTTCTTCTGAATCTAGACACCCAGCTTCAATTGTAACCATTGCCAGTGCAATCACGAGCGAATCTATGTGTGGCACTGTACCGACATTGCCCAAGGGCGAATTGGCGGAACATGTGGTCTCTACTTCACAAATTAGTTTCCTACTGTTGGTAGGCTGCCTTCCGATATTATATATTCTCCACTAGAAAATGGTGCTCAGGTGCGAAGCCCTCAGTCCCTCAAGTAGGTGCAAAAGAGGAGCCTCAAGAGTTCAGCACTAGGATTCTCACGTGGCCACTTGCCTTAGTACTAATCAGGTGATGAAATGCTTGCTTACGGCAGAGCGGACGGGATGCAAAGCTCTCATTACTCTATGGACGAACGTGGTATGATACTCGGCAATTCTGTCCATGAGGCGGTTGGGACATAGTTTATCACTCGAGTGGGACTATATTCCCTAGCAAGATGTCTTGTAGAATGGTCCGCGTGAGCGAAATGAGAGATGGTGGTACCATTGGTTAACAAGACTCTCATATTTCTTTCCCCGGCTGTGTTCGGTATTTATGCTATGCACGCGTGTGCCCTTGAAAAGGAAGAAGTGAGAGAGAAAGCTCATGGAAGAAACCAGTCTAGTATTAAGATTAGAGATAACAGGAGCATAATACTGACTGGACATCAGAGGAGCGAGAATTATCTTACGAGGGTCTCTGTGAATTCATAGCCACCACTAGCCTAGGACAGAGGAACGGAGGGAGGACTCCGAGTGGGGATCGGAGGGAGTGGAATATGGACTGGAGGAATAGGAGGAGGGTATGTGAAGTAAAAGATACAAAAGTGTAGATCTTTCCGAGGTCTAGAAGGAGAACAGGCGAGGGAACTCGAGGGTAGAGGAACGCGGAAACCATGCTACCAGCAGCAATAGATGAGAAAATAGGGTTAAATACAAACACTTGACCAGAATAGAGTAACCCATTCGCCTAGGATGCATAGAGGCTGGTGATAAAGGTGATAGCCAAGAGCGTCTATATCAGTTGAAATTCAGGCAAGACCTGGATGGAAGATCCTAGGGCCATGCTCAGGTTTCCCGGGGGGGGGGCAAATTTAGACATATCATGCTATGATACCATTAGAAATCCAGCCAACAACAGCGATGCCACCCCCGACAGAGGTCCGTGACTGGGTTGGGGTTCAGTATGATATGAAGCAAGGCTTTCGAGAGGAATCCCCTGGGGTTGCCCTTTGGAGCTAAGTTATGGCGGCGCTTAATCTCTTCGCTCACTCACCCAAAATCGACTATTCGCCTCTGCTGGAAGAGTTTTGAGCCTGTGTTAGTTAGTGCTTCTTATGGGAACGAAGGAACTGAATGTTGGCGTAATGGCAAAAGTACCGGTGTAACTAATCTATGAACTTGGATCTGTAGGCTCTAGGAACCGTCGGAACTTGCATACCGGCATAGGTATCCAGGTCTAGGGAAATGGGGCAATATGTGGCGATGACGTTTGACTTGCTTTCCTATGATTATGATCAAGTGAGACATACCAGCGAGGAGGGAGAAGTTGGTCCCCGGCTAAGGCATAAGCCCAACTTGGCAAATGCAGTATCATTATTTCTGTAGATGCGGTAGCCGGTTTCCCGTGATGGGTTCGGAAGAGTTTCAAAGCATGTAAGAAATCCTTTCTTGAATAAATATGCTCGAATGAGCTTTCCCTGCTAGCGATCCATTTGGGTAAGACCCCATGGTTTGTTAGAGCTAAAACTTCTTTTTCCAGAAATCGAGGAGCCTCGCCAATTCCCAACTCCTGTAAAAGGTTCTTCTAGCAAATGGAAACATTCAAGTGTTAATTAGGTAGTAAACCATGCATCTCGCATTAACTCATAGCCAGCTTTCTTGGTTATCATACTGTGTTCGGCCATAGAGCAATGAAAATTTCGCATCCCGTCCGCTCTGCGGTAAACAAGCTTTGCATCGCTTGGCTAGTATTACGGTGGGTGACTACGTGAGAATCCCAAGTGCCGAACTCTTGAGGTTCTTCTTTTGCTCCCTCTTTTGGGGTAGATAGCTTGATGTGGCTCTCTTTTTTCTTTTAGGCCCATCAAATTTTGTGGTATGGTTCAACAAGGGAAGTGTGTGTATAATACCTTATCATTCAGCCACTAGGCACAAATCCCCCAGGATCTGTTAGCGGGTACAGTACAGCTTCGCCACTGCGAAAAAGAGAGAAACAAAGATAATAAGGATCGAACATATTCTACGCTAGCATAAATAACCGAACATTCAGAACAAGGGATTTAATTCTCAGTCCAAAACTAAAGTCTCCAATAGTCCTCCCTCAACAATTCCAGCTAGCAAAATCAACACTATAATATTATACTCCCATCCACAACTCACGGGAGAAACCTGGTATATAAGACTAACTACATCACAACAGGAGCATTCTGCTCTCCCCTTTCTAACCATATGCAAACCAGGCAAAGAGGGGAGAAATTGAATAGGTTTTTGATATTCCTGACCGGTTAGACATTTTTTCCCCTTTAGACATGCTAATGTATGTACGAAGAAACTTCAATAGAACATAAAGAGCGGACTTTGTCTTACTCAGTAGCACACAGCTCTCGATTCTTAATATTTTTTCAAAAGTTTCCCCCTCTTTTCAATCTTCCCGTATCAAACAAATAACAATATTTGATCCAATCCCGATGCTGGGAGCATTACTACGTTCGGTTATTTATGTTTGCGTAAAATAGTATGTTAACCTATATCCGACATATATCGACTCGACATTGCTCCCGCATCTCCACCACTACATCTCAAAAAAAAAATCGCCCTTACAGCATTCACACCGATCAGTATCACCGATCCTAATTCCAAACCCCCGCTCCCGACCAGTCAAAAAGTGGACACCACCTCGATGATTCCCTACCCCTCTCTCGCTCACACGCACTCCTCCGGTCCGCTGAGCCGGGGGATGAAGAAGACTTTAGACAATCATCTCGAGGTATACGGGAAATTCTAAGAACGCTCCTGAAACGCCGCCCACCCGCCCTCGCAATAGTGCGTTTGTAGTTCTGTGGTTAACCCACGTGATACAGGGCCCTAAACCGCTGGTGTAAGAACTTGGTGCCAAGCGGCAGCGTCCGAATAGACTCATGGCATTCCCATGGCGAGCCGCGATTAGTGCCACATGGAGGGAATTTGATGTCGGTGGAGCGTCCGTTGTCCCGGATTGCATTGGCCCCGCACGACGCGGTCTCACAGTTCATCGGTTTCTGTCAGAGATGCGGAGGCCAAGTCGACCGTGGCTTGGCGAATTGCGAGTGATGGTGTGTGCTCTCAGTATGATAGTTGATTGCTTGACCTCTGGCATCATACTTTGTCACTAGTGGGTGAAATATATTACGGCGAGCTACCGCGCTTCTGGCTTTATCGTGTACGGTCTTTAAGTGACCGAATCCCTATGTCTCATGCAAGAGGTAGCATAGGGGTGTCCCGATATGCTTCAACTGGGGTCCCTACTTGTGTGCTAGCATGCCGCACTCGAGGCCGCGAGCCTGGGCATTTGTTCCGGTAGGCATTTGCCCACTGCGGCGTTTTGCTCGCGGTAGTGATTTCGCCGCTTCAGGTGTTCTTAATGTAACTTCTCCTTTTTTCCTTGCCTGCGTTCCCCTGCTTCTTTAGAGCTGGCATGTCCTCGGTAGGGATGTATGACATGTCCGCTTTGCTATTATATAATAGCAAACGTTAAAGAGAGTGTGATCCTGGAGTGTGACCGTAGGGCAGTGGCCTTATCAGATCATCCAGACATACTTTTGGCTCATTCGAGGACAGTACGTAATATTGGTAGGAATCGATGGTCTCGGTACTTTGGCCGGTGCGGGTATTTCTACGGTGTCATCGACTGGCCATTCTTCTGCTCCTTGTGGGTCTCAGTGCGGTCCCCGGACTATGATGCGGTGCAAGGTTCATCCATTGATTAGACCGTAGGCGTATGATAATTATGAGGACCTTTTTTTCTATGCAGTTCACTTTTTATCTGATAACGATAAGGACCGAGGTTAACAGCCAAGCAGAGTTACGACAGCATTTGCAATTTGCCTAGCTCTAATAAAGAAAACACGCGCATGAGCAGAAAAAAAGAGTAGCCTATTTGCCCTCTAAGACATCATGATCAAGGCTCATCATTTGCTTTCTATCACCATCTAAGAGACCGAAACGAAACCCTCTAAACCGCTCCTGCTGCCTTTAGCAAGGTTGGTAGCTCGGATCTTTTCCCCTGCAAATCGCTGTTCCCACCGACGTGCTTCTTGCCGATGTAAATGTTGGGGACAGTCCTCTGACCATTGATCTCCTGGAGAGCGTCCTGGAGATCGGCCCCATCGTCTGTTTTCCACAATCACGTTGTCAACGATCATTGAGCATGACGGTACGTAATGCTAAGCAATACTCACCGACTTGATCCAACTCTACCACGTAAAACTTTGCACCTATTTCTGTGAGGGTTTCTTTACTGGCACGGCAATAGGGACAGTAGGATTTGGAAAAGACGGCTATGCCAGGAGCTCCCCTGTTAGCAAACCGAACGTGAAGACAAACGGGAAGTATGAGAAGAGAGGGATGAAAGCTGTTTGCATACCAACGGGGTGCTCGTCGATGATAGCTTGGACTTTCTGTTTAGGAGTGGCAGACATGACTGGTGATCTAGGAGATGCAAAGAAGGAACGACGGAATATTGAAGCTATGGCGGGCGAGTGGGTTTGTCCTTTAGAAAGCAGGACAGAGGAGGGCTGGAGGTGTTTAAATAGGGGTTTAAAGGAAAGGAATACTCGATTACGAGTGCTGTTGCAGTGGACAACGAAATTGAAAGTGGGAGGGTGGCACGGTGGGGCTGACAAATACCGTAGCAAGATGGATTAAGAGGGAACTCTAACCGGGAGAGGCGTGCCCTTGTGGCGAGACTTCGCCGATCAGCCGCCCCGCAGCGTTCGAAGAATCAATGATCGCCGGGGAGAAGTGGCTCAGGACCGGCGAACTGAGGGTTCTTTTGTTCGTTATTATTTCTCATCTCGGTCCCAAGCAGGGTACGGTACGTACTTCGTACAGTACCGTAGTTCGGGCCCGTTTGTTTGCCTGTAGGACTACAAGTGTTGTTTGCCACTACAAGATGCCGATCCTGCTCGTCCCAAGGCCATTCGGGATACGGGTGATACCGTGGATGCGCTGCACGGTCTCCCCCTCATTTACTGTTCAGGTAAATCTGACGAACCAACAATTACAATTTACATGTACAGTACAGAACGGTACGGTATCATACATATGCACGCTTCCGTAACTGGGATACTAGGCGGCCTGAAAGAGCAACGAAAAGTGGGGGATTTTTCGGGGCGCGCGGTTTTGCTCTCGAGAGTTCGAGTACGATAGGGTGACTAATCAGATAGATGATGGGAGGAGGGATTAGAGGGATTACCGGCATTCGCTGAATAATGCTTCGGATTAATGGAACAAACTTACAGTTGCCATGTCACTTTCCCGACAAGACCCTAAGCAATTGCAACCGCGTTTTGCAAAAGGGCGTGGTTTTGGCCGTCTCTGCCGCATCTTCCGTTAAACTCAGCGGGCCGATCTGGATCTACACCAGTGGCGGCGCATTTTTCCTTAGAAGCTTCTTTCCCGAGAACGATGCTCTTATTCCTACGGCGGCGCTATACAGATATGGGCATGATACCACGATGGACAAGCGGCCCACCACTACTTAATCAGGTGACCCAAGAGATACCAGAGGATGCGGGAAAGGATAAAGAACTTTCTTTTTTTTTTATAAAAAAAAAGATGAATACAAAAAAAAGATTTCCTCGCGGGGTCATGCAGATGAGTCTTCGATGCGCGCGCCCCGTTCTGGGCACCGTTATTTTCTGGACTATTGGCTGAGAATGGTGCTTCGGCCGTCCCTGTGCCCTGTGGGATTTTTTGAATTCAACTATGACACTCGTAGAACGCTGGCGGAGGAGGTGGACAAGGCGGTCTTCGAACTCCCCTCAGCTGAGAATTGAGGGGTGATCCAAACATTGAATAGGATTGTGCGGGTTTTCTGATCAAACACCTTCACGAAAGGAGAGGCTGGGTGTGAAGTGAGTTTCTGCTGATTACGTGAGACAATCATGGCCTGTGATTGGCTAGGACTCACTTTCCCTCCACTAAGACGCACTCCAGTTAGTACGGGCACTGGTATTTGTGGGAGCTAGGATTTTGGTGGTGAAACTGGTTGTGGGTGGGTGGTGCAGTAGCAAAGCAGCTCTCTTTCTCTTCTCTTTTTTTTTTCCCTTTTCTCCCTTTCCTTACCTTTGCTTCTTGTCCCGCTCACCTACTATCTTCTCGCTCCTGCTGTTTCCTCCTCCTCCGCCACCTCTTCTCTTCCTCTCTTCCTCTCCCCCCCCCTCTTCCCTCTCTCCTCCACCTTTTCATCTATCTACCCCGCCATCATTCCTCCGTCCCGCCCCGCCCTCCCCTCATCTTTCGCCCCTCCCCCTCATCTCCCTCCCCCTCCTCCCTCCTCCCTCCTCCGCTTCCTCTCCCTCCGTTCCCTCTCCATTCTCTCCCCCCATACCCACTGTGACTCTCCCTCTCCTCCGACCTATCTAATTATCCTCTCCCCCCACGATTTCTCCTACTCCTCCCGTCACCCCCACTACTTTTCAACCCTCATCACCCCGCATCCGGCTATCCCTTGCCACATCCCCAACAACTCGCTCCTCCCAATCAAAGCCAGGGAAGCAAGCCACACTCTAAAACCTTAAAGCAAAACTTTAAGATTCCTAACCTCACAACTCTCCCCGAATCCGTCATGTCCAACGAAGTCGCCGATAACCACGACGGTTCTCCTGCTGGCGATGAATCACTTTTCGATAACTCTTTTCAAAACTTGAATGTCAACGATGATCCTCACGACGGGGACCACGAGGGAGCTCGTACCGAGGAAGAGTATGCCCAATCGCCGCTCACACTCCGCGCAATTGTTTCGTCCAAGGAGGCTGGCGTGATAATTGGCAAGGCTGGAAAAAATGTTGCCGACCTGAGGGAGGAGACTGGCGTGAAGGCTGGTGTGAGCAAAGTGGTTACCGGAATCTCGGATAGAGTTCTTACTGTTACTGGGCCTTTGGAAGGAGTGGCCAAGGCCTATGCAATGGTGTCTCAGACTTTGCTCGATAGCCCTCCAAGTACAATCAGCGGTGCACCTCCTGGACCCGGAAGTATGTGATGTTTTTAATATTGTCCCCCCCTTCCCCTCTGCGTCGATTTTTCAATATTGGCCTCTCTCCCAACATACGTTTCTTAGGCTAACAGGAGATTCCGATCGCTCAGCTCTCCGCCTGCTCATCTCCCACAATCAAATGGGAACTATCATCGGCCGTCAAGGATTGAAGATCAAGCATATTCAGGATGTCTCTGGAACCCGTATGACTGCTGCTAAGGAAATGCTCCCTCAATCGACTGAACGCGTGGTTGATGTTGCTGGAGATCCTGAATCTATTCGTGCAGCCATCTGGGAAATTGGGAAATGCCTTGTCGATGACTGGCAGAGGGGTACTGGAACTGTTCTGTATAATCCCGCAGTCCGCAGTCCTGGTGGTTCTAGCGGTATTGGAATGGGCAATGGGATGGGCGGGGGTGATAGATACGGCAGTGAACGCGGAAACACTCGCTCCTACGCTCGCACTGGAAATGGTGCAGACTTTTCTGACAACTCACCTCCCTATCGTCGCCATGATGGTCCTTCCGGGCGCCCTTCCGACCGTTCCCCAGCCTCTTCGAATACCCAAGCCATGCACACCGACGATGGAGAGGAAATTCAGACTCAAAATATCTCGATCCCCGCTGACATGGTTGGATGCATTATCGGCCGCGGAGGAAGCAAGATTCAGGAGATTCGCAGGAGTTCTGGTGCCAGGATCAGCATTGCCAAGACACCACACGACGATACTGGAGAGAGAATGTTTACCATCATGGGAAGTGCCAGCAGCAACGAAAAGGCACTTTACCTGCTTTACGAGAATCTTGAAGCCGAGAAGTTGAGGAGGAGCAGTTCAGGAAGTCCTAACCACGAGCTTGAATAGGCGTTTATCTCTTAGGGTTTGTTTAACTTTCTTTCGAACAAAATGGAAATTAGGAACTGTCAAGTTAATACGAATTAACTCGATGTTTTTTTGTTTTTTTGCTTACCTTCTTTTTCCCTTTTTCTCTTCACTTTCTCTCTTTATTCTTCACTCCATCACATTTCTACTCCTACCTTTCTCTACTTTGTTCTTTTCGTTCTTACTAGTGAAGGTTTGGGGCATTATTCATTTCACGAAAAGCTTCTGCTATTGTTTCTTTTTCTCGAGGCGGGGATGGGAAATCGGGTAATAGCTGGGAAAGTAGCATTTCCTCTGATGGGGTCTATAGCTTTGGCTTAACAACCGGCGGGAGTATGATGTAATGTGCTACTGGAAACGAAATCTCTCTTTTTATATGGGGCTAGGAATCGAGGATGGTGCGGCGGTGATGGGGGGCGAACCTAGGAGGATTGGTTGACAAAGGGGCTAAAGAGAAAAATCCACTCTTACTCATCTGCTTGGCACGATGCATACCTCCTCAAAATGCAAAAAGATAACTGTTTGGTGTCCGAACCGTGATAACAGACTAAAAACTACCGGCCCTTAAAATTGTTCCGCAGTGATCCCGAACGAGGGCCGTGGCATGGGCATACCGCAGCGCAGCCCCCGAAATGCCTGATCGTGCCGTACACTGCTGTGCTGTGCTGTGTTGGTGTGGTTTACTATGGTAGCAGGGCCCTACCCAAGGCCTCGAGCGTCGGCGTTTGCTCCCCTAGGACTTCGCTAACAGTACAGTAGTATTTCGCTCACTGTGGTGTTTTTGCTGATTCTGGCGTGTATAGTTTCCTTTCTTTCTTACCCCCCCTCCGCTTATCCTTGCGGGGTTGCCGCGTTGTTGGTGAGCGGTGGGAAGTTGTAGGCATGGCAACGGCCCTTTCAGATACCCAGACAGCAATACTGGTTTATTTTTCGGAGGACAGTGTGATACCTAATACTTGTAGGAAAAAAGATAGGGCCTCTGTGTGGTTGGGGACGACATGCTCCATTTGTAGCGGGTCCGGGATTTTTGGCCCAGTAACATCAGACATCTCAGGTGCGGGGATCCCGCAGGTATATACTTCGGCCAGGTCAGATATATCTATTTATTCACCTGCTCCTCTCATCCTTCCTTCCTTCCATTCCGCACGGCTTGCTAGGGATCGTTGGCCGTTCTTGGGCGGTCGGGATTGGGCTGAAGGGGGAAAGCCATCTGGTTGGATGGGCCACCGGATCACCACATTATAAGTTGCTCTCTGCTTTGCAGAAAAGGTGCACAGTACAGTAACTTGCAGTGAAAAAAGGCCCGGACATAAAACAGCTGTACGGAGTAGGTATGTCGGTGTCGATTCCGGTCAATGTTAGTGGTACGGTGCGACTAAACCGGCTCATACGGGAGCAAAGTCTACGAGTAAGCTTTCCCGTTGCTCAACAAGAGCCTGGAGGGAGTTATTTTATTTTACTTTACTTGTGTTATTTTATCTTATCTCCCCTGTTGATCTATTTATTTATTTTCTCGAAGGGCGTATTGAATTGGACACCACAGCCCCCTGATCCATAAATTACATTCCCGGTACTCCGTGGTTGACTGAGGGAAGCAAAAGCAAAATAGATGCTTCCAGGGCCATGTTCCCCGGTCGGACAGCACGGTACCGCGCAGCGCCGGTACCGGTATCAGATCATCAGTGGAAATCATCCCCGCCAGCTCCACGATGGGCTTAGTTTCTGCCGTTACCAGAATTGCGAACTCGGATTAGTTGAGATCAACCTTGTCCGCCGGGCTGATCTTATATCATACATAGGGTACGAGTAACGTAGGGAGGGAAAAAACCCTAACCCTCCGCCGGATAGTTATTACAGTCTCATCTCATACGGTAGCTTTTTGTCCCGGAATCCGGATGAGGAGGGGGGATTTCAGGACTAAGTTACCGGAAATGGTGGATCTTCAGGGGTTTCTTTCCTTCTTCTGCTTTTATATATCATGATGATATTGTAATGTGTCATCATACCCTACCGGTAATTTTATTAAGTGTGTGATGTACAGTACTAGTACAGTAGTGCGGGCGGGCGGGGAGTGAGGTTAGATCGATTTGATAAAATCGTGGTGATAACGATCCTCGAGTGTGTGAGGTATAGTGAAGTATGATATAGTGGTGTTTCTCCTGTGATATGGTACTCTTTTTTCTTCTTCTTCTTTCTAGGATGTTGGAGGTAGTGTGGGTTCGTTTTTTTTTGTTATTTTTTTGGGGCGGGTAGACTATTGGTTAATGACTGTCCACTGGATGGGCTAATTTGTGAAAAATTTGGGGGACTGTTGGGTGCTATCGCTTTTATTCTGCAAGAGTGATTTTTTGTGGTGTAAATTTCTGGATGATAATGTTATGGAACTGCCAAATTGAGGGGGTGTTCGGCGTTGGGAAAAAAATGCCGGGTTTTATCTGTGTAAATCTTGTGTATCGTATCATACCTGGTATATCATCTGATATGAGTGGTCGGGGGTTGGGTATGGGAAGAAAAAAATTAGTTTGCATCATAATATCACCGTAGTGAGTGTTTCCTCCAGCAGCTGTTGATAACGCATATTAGTGTAAATCTATGGGTATTATGAGACTAATAGGACTATTGAAAAACGCGGTTGCGGAATATTTACTTTTCATATTATGCCCATGCCGGACCCCCATGTTGCGAAAAGATATGATCCTATCTCTTGTTAACATATGTCATATCTGTGCGTCTGTGCAGGTGTTACTTGCGCTTTCCTAAAGGCTCTTATCATATGATACTGCTATGAAGCCGTGCTTGTATCAGCTCTCAATGATGATTCAAACTGCCGCTCATCGCTTTGAAGAATCTTCTTAGGGTGTTTCGCCCGACCTATTATTGAGATATCAGTTGGCAATTTCTCAACCTTCATTCGACTTCCTTTCCCCAGTTAACCATATGATATCCGACGTGTTCTCAGGATCCTAGAGCCGGCACTGCACATGCTTCATTCATTATCACCATCCTGTATCTCTTGTTTATGCCCTGATAACTGAATAAAGCTGGTATTAATTATTATCTCAACCGATATCAGTCTCAGTTGCGGTGCACATATTCACGCGTGTGTGTGTGGGGGATATTTCGAAGCCGGCTCTGTCCATGATGTGCGCAAATATTCTCCGCTAGCGCCTGGCATTCACATGCGTGAGAATGGGAGAGGTGCTTGGTATGTCTGGTCGGTAGTTATCTCCTCCTCTACCATATTCGTCTTGGCTGCCCGAGGTGCCTAGTGTTATCGATAATGCCACATATCCTATCCAATCATACTATAGTACCTTAACTGGTCTCAATCTCTTGACCTTGTTTTGAAATCTACCGAGTCCGAATCTCGTGGATTTCGGTCACGGACACCATTATGCGGGCCATCAGATGCCTGTGGGTTAGGGTTGTGGGCCATGCAGATAGCAGATGATACAGCGAGTATCATACTGCGGGATAAGCGGATTGGAGCCGTCTCAGCTCTTGGGCGTAGTACCGTGTGAGGTTGCATATGCGGGATGGGCGGACTCCTTAGTGGGCTATAAATAAGTCCTGTTGGATGTAGAAAGAAATCCGCTTTGTGAATGTGCTTTTTGCATGGGGTGGGATCACGGTGCAGAGATGATCGGTAAAAGGGTAGTATCATATGCGGTGTTATCCGTCGAAGGGTTGGCAAAATTTGGTTATCGTGAAGGTTGATTCTGAGCTGCCGGCATCCTATCGACGCTATCGCACGCTCACAAGTGCCGTTACCCTGTCCCCTAGCGGCCACCAGCCCTAAGAGAGCTTTCACGACCACGGCCCCTCGATAATCGTTACACCACGTGTTTGCGCCCTGCAGATGACACCTGAAAACCCCCTCCCGACAAGAACCGAGACGTGAGTCCCGAGTGATCCGCCATGCAGGGGACTGTACTGTACCGTACTCAATCTCCCCACACGACCCCTCCGACAGTGTATCGCCGTCGGGTACCGTATGGTGCGATATCAAGCTTAGGGTTAGTACTCGAGCATCCTCTTCCTGCTTTCGGCAACAATCCCGACCCTCAGCGCGTCCTTGTGTATTCCCCCCCTTTTTTTTCCTGGAAACGAAAAAAAACAAAACGGAAGCCCTGATACCCTGGACTCCTCGCTATCCATTCTTCACGCGCAAAATCGTGCAACAAAGTTTTTTCTTCTTCTTTACCTGCTCGCGTTGGGTGTGTGAGTCTCAGGTCGGGGGGTTGGGATTTCTACGGGGCAGATAAGCTTCTGTCTTTGTTCCGTGATTCCGCACTTTGCTGGCCGATTGTTGGTGCGGGGTTGCCGGGCACTATACCGACGGTTTGCACCCGTATAGAATAGTGTCTTTTTTGTCTCTCTGGTGAGAGCCAGTGTCTCCGTGTGGAGGGGTTTGAAGAAGACCTGGTTAGCCGGATCTAGAATATGTATCATATGGTGCCAGGAGGATAGATTGAGGGTGGTGGGGATTACCGGTATTGGCTACGGTAGTCAGTGGGCTGAGGGCTGGGGCGCTGTGGATGAGATACGTGTTTTTGGGAATAGGGCTTTTGCTTTCCCTTGTGGATGGTTCGGTGTGATGGGAAGGGAATTGTTTGAATACGGCACGACGCCGTAGCTGAGGATATGGATACCGTATGGCGGTATATGACGGTACGGTGCTCCGAAGAGCTCGAATAAAGGGGCCATGTGCTAGGTATGATGGTTCAACGTTTCCTCCTGCGGGAAAGTGGCGAAAATACAGACTAGAAAACATGGTTTCTGAGACAAAGGGGAGAAAAACCTTACTGGGAGAGGCAACTCCAACGTCCAAGCACATGGCTCTATTGTTCGGGTTCTTACGGCACTCATGCTTTGGTCGGCTTTGCGCTGTGCAAGTGCTGTAAACAGTGCAAATGGGGAGAGCGGTCTGAAAATGCAACGTGGGGTAAACATCCTGCTCTTTGCCTCATGCTTGTGGGTGCCCATTGTGGTGGTGGTGGTGGTGATGGTGATGGTGGTGATGGTGATGGTGGAGGTGAGGAGAAGGAACGCTGCGAGCACAATCTACTCGATTTTCTCTTACCAGGACTCTCCTCCGCTAGGGTGGTTGGTCGAGATACGGTGGTGGAGTGCCTGGGCTGCCATTATACTTGAGATACATGTATTCGCCTAAGGATTTGATCGCAATTGCTAGTATCACGGTAGGGCATTGCCGGAGTACTACCAAAGGGCCGGGGCAGGAAGGTGGAGAAGGAATTTGGGTAGTTCCTCCCAGTGTGCACGTACCGGTACCCGGGTATAGTATCTTACCGGTACTTGAGCAGGTAGTAGTGTACAGTACTAGACTTGTGCTCCAGGGTCCCATCGCCCGTACTTGGAGTAATTAAACATTTTAGTCCCGTCCTAGAGTTATCAGGTTCCCAATCCGCCATCGCACACGTACACCATCCTTGTCGCGTTGGTTTCGTGTGGTATTGAATCATTGGCACTTTGCTGCCATATTAAATTTATCTATCTGCGGGTTTCCTTTGTTCCCCTCTTCACTTCCCGCACGGCTGGGATTAGAGGGGCGGTGGTGCAGTTCTGCAAGGAACTGCTCTAACTTGCGCTAGTACAGTACAGTGCAGTAACGGACAGCACGAGTACTCGAGTAGGAATGCTCACCCTACGGCTCGATGCGGGTACGACGTGAACCCGACCAATCCTTCAACAGGCCTATCATGCTGTGGTGGGAAAGATGAATGGAAACTCGGGCGGCGGTGAGAAATAAACTAATGTAACCCTGTCCGTTCCTGCGTCCGGCATCATGCTTCCATGTTCCCTCCCCCTCCACTCTGCCACCATCATCCCCCCATCGTCCTTCCCACCGCATCCCCTCCCCTCACCACAGCCCCTACAACCACAAAGTGCGGATACGGGGAGAGGGGGGTGGAGAAAAAAAATGAAGTGGGATAAAAAAAAAGCAATTTTAATATCTCAGCTATTCCTTATTTCTCCTTGCCTTTATCTCTTCCTCTTTTCCCCCTCCATCGTCTCCGTTTCCCTTATTTCCTTTTCCCGAATTCCATCAATCATTCATTGCAGGAGTTGAATTTCTCACGGGCCGGGCATTCCTGTTTTCAATCGCACTTCCTTCCTTCCGCCATTCTGACCCAATTCTAACTTCACATCTCAGCGCGGGACGCATTTACTCCTATTTGTTTAACCCTTTGGAGCACTTTTCGAAACGATACAATGGCTGGAGCCATGAGGATGTTGGGTTCGACAGCCATGCTTGCGTGGGTCTTGTTTGGAGAGTCGGCTTTGGCATCTCAGCCTGTGGCTCCGACGCCAGCTCAGATTGCTGCGGAAATGAGGAGTGCGTATTTTAGGTAGATTGGCCTGATTGGCCTTTTGTTCTTTTTTTCTTTTCCCCCGCATCCCATCAAGTTTGCTAATGCTCGATGATTGTTGCTTTTCAGTTTATGGATGATGGTATCGCTCGCAGCCTTTGCTGCCCTTCCACTTTTCTACAGATTTTGCAGCGTCATATATGCCCGCATTCGCCTGTTAGTATCCCTCGGCAGCGAGAGTCAACGCTTCTTTGCGGAACCCCCGAGTACGTGGGTTTCATCGATCAAGAAGCATGTCATATACTCGCCTCTCTTCCGCGTCCGCCACAACCGCGAATTCCGGCTCTCGGCTGCTGTGAACGTGGGTACTCTCCCTACTCGATTTCAGACGTTCTTCTTGGTTGGTTATCTCGCTGGGAATATTGTCTTCTGCACGTTTATGATTGATTATGCTGCGGATAAAATGTCCATGCTTGGGGAGGTTAGGAGACGTGCTGGGTGGATGGCTGCCGCGAATATGGTTCCTCTGTTCTTGCTTGCCGGGAGGAACAATCCTTTGATTCAGCTTATGGGTATCCCGTTTGATACATATAATCTTATACACAGGTGGCTGGGCAGGATTGTGGTACTAGAGGCTGTGGTGCACGTGTCTTCATGGATTGCGTCTAGGGTTATGAAATGTATGCCTCTCTTAGCCTTTATGAATTCCGGGTCTGGTACTGATGGGGAAACAATAGCTGGCTGGGGGAGTGTTGTGCAGGCTTTCAACACATACCCGTTCATCCGATTTGGTCTCATCGTAAGTCTCTTATATTTGGCAAACATTTCAATCTCTAACAGCTAAAGGCGGCCGTTTGCTTCGCTTTCCTCATTTTGCACTCTCCCTCTGCCCTCCGCCATGCATTTTACGAAACCTTTTTGGCGCTACACATCATGGTCGCAGCACTAGCCGTGGCTTCTCTCTACCGCCATTTAGCAGATAAAGGCTTCCCCTCGCTCAAGTATGTTAAGATTGCTATCATAATCTGGGCCATTGACCGGGGCCTCCGCCTCCTACGTGTTCTCTACCGAAACGTCGGCCGCAAAATGACAAGGGCAACATGTGAGGCCCTACCCGGGGACGCCGTCCGTGTAACGCTCCATATCGCCCGGCCATGGACCTTCAAGCCAGGACAACATCTCTACCTATACATGCCGAGCCTCGCACTGTGGACATCACACCCCTTTACCGTTTCTTGGAGCGAGGATCAACAACACGTCAAATTCGACGACGAAAAGCTCTCCCTCCACCGTCAGGATATAACTCATGTGGGCCAAACCACCCTCTCGCTCATTATCCGCCGTAGGACTGGTTTCACAGACACCCTTTACAAGAAGGCTTATGGCACCCCGGAAAGGACCTTCACCACGCGAGCGCTTGTCGAGGGCCCTTACGGAAAGATTGACACATTGGGCAGCTACGGCACTGTTGTATTGATCGCTGGTGGAGTCGGGATCACTCATCCGGTATCGTACGTGCGTGAACTTGTAGACGGATACGCGAAGGGTACGGTGGCCACTCGGCGGATTACGCTCGTGTGGGCTATTCAGAATCCCGAACATTTGGAGTGGGTTAGGCCCTGGATGACGGATATCCTCGCTATGGAGAAGAGAAGGGAGATCTTGAGGATTTTGCTATTTGTGACGAGGCCCACGTCAACAAGGGAGATTCACAGCCCTTCGGCCACAGTGCAGATGTTCCCTGGCAGACGTAGGTTTTATAATCTCATGACCGTGTGTTTGTTATACTCAGTACTAACTGGGTTCGCCCTGCAGCCAATATCGATACTTTGCTGGACATGGAGATCGACCAGAAGATGGGCAAGATGGCTGTCACGGTCTGCGGGGGTGGTTCGTTGAGCGACGATGTCCGCCGCGCTGTTAGGAACAAGATACACAAGGCGAATATTGACTTTATCGAGGAGGCCTTCTCCTGGTAGATTATTTCTTCCCTTGCCTTTCCCATTTGCACCTTAAACAGCCAATTTTTTTTTTAAAGGGGGGGGGGCCGGACTTCTCCTTACCTCACTAAGATGTGCAATTTTTGTTCATTTTCATCTTATCCGTTGGCAGATACCCCAGGAGCCTGCAGCTCTCTTTTCACTTCTACCAGTTCATTTCCATCTTCACGTAATGTTTTTTTTCCAAACCCCTTCACACACACACACTTTTCCCCCCCGACACCCACCAGTTTATGTAGGAATACATTATGTTAGAACCGTTCACCTGTAATATATTTTATTTCCTTCTCAGCTTTTTTTTCTTGTTTCTCTTCTGAATAGAACAATAGGGTTGGCGGTTTGCAAAGGGAGGCGTTCATAGATTTTCACTCGTTTCTTCCTTTGTAAATACTCGGTCAAGTTGCTTCTCTGGGTAGCGAGGTGTGTGAGGGATGTTCGTGATATACAGTTAGCGGATAGTCATGAAGAATCACTCGGTTGTCCCTGCCCGTACGCTTATCGTATCTTTGTAGTTGTCTCATAACGAAAAGGTGTGCATGTGCTATAAATTCAAGTGGGAGGGGTGACCCCCCCGGGGGCCGACTCAATCTGCTCCCCTGCGAGTATCATAGCAAAAAAGTACCGTAGACCTAACCCCCCTGTATACTAGTGCGGGAACGCGCCTCACTACCTTATAGCAATTTAACAGTGTCCGAGGGTCCGTAGCTTGCGGGAAAGTAGTATCTGGTTTCATCACACTCGTTGCCTTGCCCCGAATATGGTGGGGCTGCGCTATTAACTATCTCCCACAATCGCCAGTCATGAGTAGAGCATACTCTCATGCACCCGGCGTCGCTTTTCACCTTTAACTTTGATGTCCTGGCTCAAGCTGGTGACTAGGCTGCGTTGCGAGTTGGGAGGAAGCGGGAGGGGGAGTTTCTACTCTTTGGTGGTTCTTTGGGTTCCGAGAGGTGGAGGGGTTTACTGGGATGGTAAAGCGGTGTATGATATATATGCCAGTTTACTTTCCCCAGTGATTCTAGGAGGGCGATGGGGTTGGACGGAGGAAGTAGTGTGGAGTGCGGGGGATAATAAGCAGCGTTCCGTGCCGCCGGGTGGTCACTCAAGGGGTCGGTGGTGAGGAGGGATTATGGGTGTGATATATATCGACGTTTTTTCTTCGTTCTCTTCTTCTTCTCATGTCCACCCTATTCCATTCTTCACGGCCACAAAAGTTACAAACAATATGTGTTCATCATGATGAAGGGTGTGGTCGTATTTTTTTTTTTCTTCGAGAGATACGAGAGTTTGGCACGGGCACAATAAATGGTGTAGGTTACGGGAATATCGTGGTTGTGTGCTTCAATACCTTTTGTCAGTAATGCTCCTTTGATTTGCGGTCACTGGCATACAGATTATTGACCGCAATTGAACTTTAGGAGGAGGGACGAAGGGGGAAAAGAGAAGAAGAAAAAGGTGAGTGTACAAGCTTTTTTTTTTTCTTCTATGATATACTAAATCACTTTGCGGTAATGGATATGATACTGCGTTATCATACCAGGAAATATACTACTGAATTTATGCAGGCGAGGGAGAAATATATATATATATAATAATATTATTATAATAGTATATTATATCCCAATTATGTTTTAGTCATGCAGAATGGTGCCCCCTCGATATCTGAGTTGTCATATCATTGAGAAATCTGATATGCCATAAAATTCGCTCTTATGGTATATATATCATGGTGACATGCACAACAGAGCATTAACTTGCCGAGTTTTTTTTATAGTTTCTTTTTTCCCCCTTCTAGCCAGTATTCGCAAGCTGAACTCATCGGGGATCAGGATGCAGTCTCCCCTTCAGCCGATAAGCCGACTGTAACCCCTCGGCGGCTTAAGGGTGCTGTGTAGAAGGGTATATAGCGGTAATTAGGTCGCAGCAAAGATCTACCGGTGGGCTTAACGCATGGTTGATCGTACAGTTTATCAGATATCAGATTTGTCCGTGGTGTTGCCGGTATAAATTTTTTTTACCTTTTCCCCCCCTCCTAGTTTCTGGAGAATTTGCTTATTACCCTCTTCTCTTGGGAAGTTATCATATTTGGAGATGGTGCGCGGGGGGGGGGGGATCATGAGAGGTATGATAAATAATAATAATAATAATTTTATAAAAAAACATTGTACAGGTAGGATTTTCGTATCCGTGCGTGGCCGACAGTGTCTTTGATGGAGGAGCGGGTGTGTTACTGAAGCGTGAGGTGTAATCTTCGTGCCTAATTTCGTGTTCCGAGGGTCTGTTTCTAATGTTTGGGTTTATTATCCTTCTATTATGATAATAATATATAACACGCATTTTCCCTCACGGCTGACGCTAGCTGCCGGGATTGCGCCAACCCAACTGCAGTGCTCAAGCTCTAGCCCCCGATCTCGCTATTACCGCTGTTGTGGTGGGCCCGAACCACTTGTCATCGCTAGCACTGGGGTATGACTTTTGCGAATAGAGGAGTGGTGGCTTAGGAGGAAGTATCGTGTGGCTCTGAGGGAGAGCATGAATAGGGAGGGAGGGATGGAGTGGAGTTCTTGTGGAGAGGTATGATATGTTGGAAGCTTCCTTGATTGGGATATGGTAGGAATGGTTGTGCAATCCCTTGGTCGGGATGTCAGGTTAGCTGTGCTGGAGGGAGAAGAGAGTGCTGCACCGGATCTTATTCTGGTACGGTGGTTGCGTTTGCTGTTATAATACACTGCTGATAAATATGAAACCGGAAGGACTATATGCACTTACCCGTAACACCATCACTGAAATTTCCAGTATGCATTTTTGCGGTTTGGCTGGGTTTTAGGATGTGCATCAGTGATGTTGCATTCTAGAGTTCATGAGGAGGGTCAGAAACTGGGGACAAGCGGGTACGATAGACAAGGATCTCCAATGTCCCCAACGGAAGTCTTACCCGCAGTTATAGTCGATATCTACGAGCACACTACCTACCCAGGTTTAATATCACCCCCCTCACCCTGGCATAACAACCCGCCCTACTAACATCCTTGGAATAATTCCCCTTGAGTTCCTTCCGTTCCTTAAGAGGCAAGTGGGATGAATGATCCGGAACACGGGATTTTGTGCTCGATCAGTCAATCTAAAAAAAAAAAAAAAACAAGTAGCTGAATGCCCGATCCCATAGCGATCCAAAAACCAAAAATAGATCTGCATGGAACCCCCACCTACACACCTAGGAAGGAACTACAAAAGAATAGACACCTGGCAAACACCCTAGGCTAGAATTTACCCACAGTTTCCAAAGAATAACCCGAGTAATCCCCCCCACAACACCATTGCATACGTTGTTAATGTCAAGAGCCTAATTTAAGCTACTCTCTAGAAGCACCGTAGAGAAAGTAGAAATATCCCTTCAGGGCAGGCTCTGCTAGCTCTCACTATTAGTACAAGAATCGGCTCAAGTCAGTACTCAGTGGTATGGCAGATTTTCCTCCCTGAAAGTGATTCCCTAAAGTTCCAAAATATTATAGGTTTGGCTCATCACCGGGTTTCACCCACTGGGGCTCAACCAACCTTCTAGTATGCAAGTATTCAATCCCAGATGTCACAAAATAATAACCAAGAGCATGGTCATCTGCCCTCACCTTCTCAAACAATACTAGCACTTGGAAACGCTTCTCTATCCCAGGCTTTCAGATTATTCTAAAACAAATCGTGATATCATACAATACCTCTAGAGGAATATGCGAAAACATACCCAAAAAGCTCTCGGCATTCTCATTTTAATGGCTATAGTTCTTGAGGCAGTGAAAGGTATGAGAACTTCAGTAATGTGAGCACCCATGCAGCAAGCAGCTAGGAACAAAAAAATGAGTTCAGCACCTGGGATTCTCACGTGGTCACCCGCCGTAATACTAACCAGGCGATGGAGCGCTTGTTTACCGCAGAGCGGACGGGATGCGAAACTTTCACCCCTCTATGGCCGAACACATCATGGGATCCCGGAAGCCGGTTATAAGTAAGTGAACATAGTCCATCACTCGGTTGGGATTCTGGAACACACGTTTTACGGCTTTATACAGCATCCCTATGGGGCTGGTGCTCGGGTCATCCTGGTAAGCCTACTAGCTCAGACGGGATGAGCTGGGGGTCCCCGAGGACTAAAGTCAAAAATGTCCAGGAGTGGGTAATTGAACCAATCTGGATTTACCAAATGGGGACTAGGGAGTGTCTGCGCGAAATAGGGTTCCCGTTTGCTATTGGAGAGGTTCTCCCCCGGGCATGCACCCCCTTGCGCCGCCTTAACCACCGTAATCTCCGTTGGCGAGAGACTCCATTTCACGGAGACTTTCACAGAGCGACCACAAGTATTTAGGAAAAAATCCCGGTATTTTCATACTAAGTAAAATCAAAGGGAGAAATCATTCGACGGTGATGGAGAACATAACATGGTCAACACTTGAGACTATTAGGAAAAGCCTTGGTATGATGGCTCGGGATAGAAGTGTTGTTCAATTCACTAACTCCCCGGACAAGTTTAAACGGATAAAGCTTAGGCCCTGTTTGGTTGCGCTGGGCCCATTTTGGACCATTCCAGTGTGAAATGGATGGACCTGTGGGAACGGTTGCCAGTTGGGCACCACCATTCACTAGTGGCAAACACATGAAAAATTTTCACTTTAGGGCCTTGTGAAATTTTTTTACCAGTGCCTTCAATTCTTTTAAAATTTAACTTTTTAACACTCTACCAAAATTTCCTCAAAATAGCTAGATAATAGATTAAACATTAGATACACTAATAATAGCTACTTATAATAAAATAGAACAATTTTTCACCATAAAATAGTGTCTCTGCTAGGCTGAAACTGCTCCTGTGCCTCTTTCTTTGATGCTCTGTGGCCGACAATCCACTAAAATATAACTAGTTGCTCTTCAACACTTATATGATGAGATAGCCAGAGTAGACTATGCTCAGTTATCCAGTCCTGAAGATCCAAGAAAGTGTTTGTTGACATATATATAAGCTCCATCATGCAATATAGTTGTGCTCTTAGGATTTCTTTAGTATGTTGGTGACCTGTACAACTGGAAGTATGTACATACTCGGGAGGCAGAAAGAAGTTCACATAAATTGTTGTACTGATTGCAATTGGTATTCATTGATGAAGGATCGCAGCATGGATGTGATTATTATCTGCTGGAGGACTCATTATTGAATTGTTTCAAATTAGAATTTAAATTAAAGATGTCTAAGACTTATAAATAATAATATTTATACTATAGAAAACATATTCTACAGGAAAATACTTATTCTATTGATACTATTATTATTACAACTATTTACATATGATGTTTCTACAT